ACACACACACACACACACACACACACACACACACACACAAACACACTCACACACACACACAAACACACACACACACAAACCTGTGTGTGTACCCTCCCCTGTACCCTCCCCCTCTTATCCACCCCCTGTACCCTCCCCCTCTTATCCACCCCCTGTACCCTCCCCCTCTCCCCCACCACCCCAAGCCCTCCCTCCTCCACCAATCCCCCCGTGCCAGGTCCCCCCAGCTCCCACTCACCCCAGATCCCAAAGGTCCCCCCCAGAAAAGAAGCAGAAGAGAGTCAGTTTCAGGGTGATGTACTCGAACATAGATGGGATCACAAGCAAGACAAGTGAACTAAGGGAAAGAGCACAAGAAGTTAACCCAGATGTAATCGGACTCACTGAAACAAAACTCTCTGGAATCATAACGAATGCTGTGTTTCCCCAGGAGTATACAGTAATAAGGAAAGAGAGGGAAGGTAGAGGAGGAGGCGGAGTGGCCCTACTCATGAGAAGGGAATGGAGTTTTAAGGAGATGGCCATCCCGGGCTGTGAGGAGTTCAGAGACTACATAGCAGGCACCATAACAATGGGAGGACCAAGAATAGTAGTAGCAGTAATATACAACCCTCCACCAAATGACAGGAGACCCAGTCAAGAGTATGAAAACAACAACAAGGCAGTTAACACTATAATTGAGAGGGCAGCCTCTGCTGCCTGTAGAAATAGATCCCACCTGCTCATCATGGGCGACTTCAATCACGGAAAGATTGACTGGGAGAACAAGGAACCGCATGGAGGCGAGGATACGTGGAGAGCCAAACTATTGGAGGTGGTGACAAGCAACTTTTTAACGCAGCATGTCGGAGAACCCACAAGGATGAGAGGCAATGACGAACCAGCGAGACTCGACCTAGTCTTCACTCTGAACGACTCCGACATAAGAGAAATCGGTTTTGAGGACCCAGTAGGAATGAGCGACCACAGTGTACTGGTGTTTGAGTACTTGATTGAAGAAGGGTTATTGAACTCGAGGAGGGATACCGAAACCAAAAGGTTAGCATACCGAAAGGGAAACTATGAGGGGATAAGAAAATTCCTAACAGATATAGCATGGGAAACAGAGCTCAGGGGAAAGACGGCCCAAGATATGATGGATTACATCACGCAGAAGTGCAAGGACGCAGCAAACAAGTTTGTCCCAGTCCAAAAGGAAAACGGAGAAATGAAGATGAGAAACCCATGGTTTAATCAAAGATGTAGGCTAGCTAAGCAGCAAAGTAAAAGGGCATGGAGAAACTATAGGAATAACAGGACACTGGAGAGCAGAGAAAGATACCAGAATGCCAGGAATGAATATGTCAGGATGAGAAGAGAGGCAGAAAGACAATACGAAAATGACATCGCAAGCAAGGCAAAGACTCAGCCTAAATTGTTGCATAGCCACATTAGGAGAAAAACAACAGTAAAGGAACAGGTTATGAGATTAAGGATAGGGGCGGAAGGATTCACTACAAATGACAAGGAAGTGTGTGAGGAATTGAATAAGAAATTCCAGGAGGTCTTCACCTTAGAACAAGGAGAAATTCCAGAGGTAAGTGAGGGAATAGCTAACCAGGAACCACTGGAAGAGTTTGAGATTACCAGTGGGGAAGTAAGGAAGTGTTTACTAGAGTTGGACGTGACGAAGGCTATAGGCCCAGATGGAATCTCCCCTTGGGTTCTAAAGGAAGGAGCAAGAGAACTGAGCCTACCACTCTCCATAGTGTATAACAAATCACTGGCAACAGGGGAACTGCCAGATACTTGGAAAGCAGCTAACGTAGTCCCGATATACAAGAAAGGGGATAGACAGGAGGCACTGAACTACAGGCCAGTGTCCCTAACCTGCATACCATGCAAGCTGATGGAGAAGATTGTGCGAAAAAAACTAGTGGAGCATCTGGAGCGAAGGAACTTTGTAACACAGCATCAACATGGGTTCAGGGATGGCAGGTCCTGCCTCACAGGGTTACTTGAATTCTACGACCAGGCAACAAAAATAAGGCAAGAAAGAGAAGGGTGGGCAGACTGCATATTTTTGGATTGTCAGAAAGCCTTTGATACAGTGCCACACAAGAGGCTAGTGCGAAAGTTGGAGATGCAGGCTGGAGTGAGAGGGAAGGTACTCCGGTGGATAGAGGAATACCTAAGCAACAGGAGACAACGAGTCTGTGTGAGGGGTGAGGTCTCAGATTGGCGAGACGTCACAAGTGGAGTCCCGCAGGGGTCAGTCCTTGGACCTATACTGTTTCTGGTATATGTAAATGATCTCCCAGAGGGTATAGATTCGTTCCTCTCAATGTTTGCCGACGATGCAAAAATTATGAGGAGGATTGAAACAGAGGATGATAGTAGGAGGCTACAAGATGACCTGGATAGACTGAGTGAATGGTCCAACAAATGGCTGTTGAAGTTCAACCCGAGTAAATGCAAAGTAATGAAACTAGGCAGTGGAAACAGGAGGCCAGGCACAGGATACAGAATAGGAGATGAAGTACTTAATGAAACAGACAGAGAGAAAGATCTAGGAGTTGATATCACACCAAACCTGTCTCCTGAAGCCCACATAAAGAGAATAACGTCTGCGGCATATGCGAGGCTGGCTAACATCAGAACGGCGTTCAGGAACCTGTGTAAGGAATCATTCAGAATCTTGTACACCACATATGTAAGACCAATCCTGGAGTATGCGGCCCCAGCATGGAGCCCGTACCTTGTCAAGCACAAGACGAAGCTGGAAAAAGTCCAAAGGTATGCTACTAGACTAGTCCCAGAACTAAGAGGCATGAGTTATGAGGAAAGGCTGCGGGAAATGCACCTCACGACACTGGAAGACAGAAGAGTAAGGGGGGACATGATCACAACCTACAAAATCCTCAGGGGTATCGACCGGGTAAACAAGGACGAACTTTTCAACACTGGTGGGACGCGAACAAGGGGACACAGGTGGAAGCTGAGTACCCAAATGAGCCACAGAGACGTTAGAAAGAACTTTTTCAGTGTCAGAGTAGTTAGCAAATGGAATGCATTAGGAAGTGATGTGGTGGAGGCTGACTCCATTCACAGTTTCAAATGTAGATATGATAGAGCCCAATAGGCTCAGGAATCTGTACACCAGTTGATTGACAGTTGAGAGGCGGGACCAAAGAGCCAGAGCTCAACCCCCGCAAGCACAATTAGGTAAGTACAATTAGGTAAGTACACACACACACACAAACACTCACACACACACACACACACAAACACTCACACACACACACACACACACACTCACACACACACACACACACACACACACACACACACACACACACACACACACACACACACACACACACACACACACACACACACACACACACACACACACACACACACACACAAACGCACTCACACACACACACAAACACACTCACACACACACACACACAAACACACACAAAACAATACACATATATTTAACGCTGAATAACCTAACCGGTTTCAGCACCTGGCCCCCCCCAAGCCTAAACCCCAACCTAACTAGCAAGGTTTTCTCTCTACTGGAGATAAAATCATAATAACAATAATAATAATTTGGATTATTGGCTTGGGCTTGAAGATATAAAAGGGAGAAACTATTAAGGCGTCAGATGAAGAGTCGGCCAGACACACCCGTCTTTAACTGCCGCCCTCAACTCCGCTGCCTCAACTTCTATATTCCCAAACTGGGCGTCGGAGAAGCTGCCGCCGCGCATCACCATAAGGAGTTTCACGACTCTTCTATATGATGGCGAGTAAAGGCGAGCTGCGCTATAACTTACCTGTAGCGTCTAGCGTTATGGGCATCACCGACACACCTGAGTACGGGCCGGCCCGATGACCTTGCTCCTCGTTACCGGTGGTGTCAAGGACCCGGTAATGTTCCGCTACCAACGGTGTGAAGGGCCCGGTAATGTTCCGCTACCAACGGTGTGAAGGGCCCGGTAATGTTCCACTACCAACGGTGTAAAGGGCCCGGTAATGTTCCACTACCAACGGTGTGAAGGACCCGGTAATGTTCCACTACCAACGGTGTGAAGGACCCGGTAATGTTCCACTACCAACGGTGTAAAGGGCCCGGTAATGTTCCACTAGCAACGGTGTGAAAGGCCCGGTAATGTTCCACTACCAACGGTGTAAAGGGCCCGGTAATGTTCCACTAGCAACGGTGTGAAAGGCCCCGGTAATGTTCCACTAGCAACATAATAAAGTCCCAGCTGTACGTAATCCCCAATAATATCCCAGAACCAACAGAGTGAAATCCCCCGGTATGTCCAGTTGCCAACAGCATGATGGCCTCAGAACTGGCGGTTTGAAGGATCTAGTAATGTCCCAGTAATATCCCGGTACCAGGCATGTTTGTCTATGCGAGGCAGCCCTCATTCATATCGAACCATATATATATATATATATATATATATATATATATATATATATATATATATATATATATATATATATATATATATATATATATATATATATATATATATATATATATATATATATATAAATGTCTACTTTACTCTTCAAAGAACGGAGTGATGCCACGCCTATTGTGTTACCCGGCAATCTGTTCAACAAAAATGCAGACATTTTCAAAGGGAAAACGTGAATCTGGTCCTCAGAGAGGGACGGCGCGGTGGGCAAGAGAATATAAGGTATGAGAGACCGCCAAATTTCAGAAGTTCCAGGGAGTAATATTTAACTCTCCCTCTACAGTACAGCACCTGCCCTCTACACCACCCCGCCTGTACACTATCCGCCCGGGGCTCAAACATACCATCGCGGCCAGCATCTAGCATTATAATAAACAGGCTTTTCCCATGGACGATCCTCTTTACTCTGACACCCGTATATCCAGAAGGATATTTATGTTAGCCTCAAAGCAGCGTGTTGCGGTACAGACGGTTGCATGAGGCTTGCTTACCTGCTCTGTGCCTCATTACACTCACCTTCCTCCTCATCATCATCAATCATCATCAATAGGTGCTCCCGACTTCCCATCTTCCTTTACACACTCTTCTCTTTCATCTGATAATCCTGGCCAATATATAATTTTTTATTGCCATTCGCCTTTAAACATTTCCTATCGCCTCCGCTCTTTCACACGCACCAACACACCTGCGCAGATTAAAATTTCCAGTGGCGGCCTGAAGCCCCAAGGACATCCATTCACACCAACACATCACATTTAATGAAGTTCCAACAAATAAACAATAATATAAAGAACATACTACTAAAGGAGTCTGCAAAACGGCCTATTGCCCCCATACGAGGCAACTGCAGTATATTTACATCCACTCACTCTATACTCGTCCAAGCCTATGATTGAGCCTTGTTAGATTGTTCGCTTTGGTGATATTACTTGATAACGGGTTAAATGGGTCAGCAACCCTATTTCCAAATCAGTATTTGCGTATTTATTTTCTAAATCAAAATTTCTAAAATTTCTTTCATTTTGTTCAAGTAACATATCGCACCTAGGCTGATGAAGAACAATGTTATGAGTGCTAGGTTGCAAAATTATTTTTATCTTGGACCACAAATGTAAAAATTGCAAGATTGATTATATATAATCACAATATTTATATCCAACATGTAGTTACACATGTAGTTGTTTTGTTACCAAGGTGTATATTTCCAGACTCCTCGGCATTTAATTTAAATAATGTTGGTGAATGGATAATAAGTTACAAAATACATATTGGGCTGTTTGTGAGTGTATAGCCTCGCAACATGCTTGTAAGTGTATAGCCTAGGAAACTATTTTTAGGTGTATAACTTCGTAATGTGTTCATAAGTATACAGCTTTCTAACTTATGTCTGCAATCAAAATATAAAATTATTTATATTTAAGGCAGTAGATAAAGGAGCATATTGTGACAGTGTCAGACCACGGAGGAAGAATTGAAACAGGAATTTCCTTAAGTACTTTCGTATATTAATACATTTTCAGAAGGAAGATGATCCATTCCTTCTGAAGATGTATTAATATACGAAAGTTCTTAAGGAAATTCCTGTTTCAATTCTTCTTCCGTGGCCTGACACTGTCACATTTTTCATCACGTGTTAATTTTCGTGGTTTATACACACAAAGGAACATATTGTATAACGCTACACACTGAGGAACATGCAAGTGGCAGCTGTTGGGTTGTTTTCAAATATAATGACAGCATATACCAGACATAATTTTTTTTTGCTTCACACTTAAAGTATTTTAATCAATGGCGCCACAATCATATAATAATAATAATTCATATTCATTGTGTCAGGGAACAGGCAGCCAGAGTGTAAACATACATGTTAGGCTTATATCGAGGTTCCCCCCCCCCAGGTCGAATTACTGACCATCCCCAGGTTGCAATCCCACAACAAGCTGACTAATTGATAATGGATACTTACTACTAGGTGAACAGGTGCATTAGGCGATAGGAAACGCGCCCAACTATTTGTCTCACCCGAGATTCGAAACCGAATTCCTGATTGAGAGTCGAGAACGAACCCACTGTACAACAAATCTGGTACTAAATCAGTGTTACTTACCTTTATCATTATATATTTATCGTTGCTCCTTTAAATAAGTTGTCAAGAGGGAGGAACGGAGACTGTGGTCCTTCTGGATTGCTCTAGACATCCATAACAGCGACACTCGCGTAGTTGTCAAGTTGTTATGTGTGAGGCGCCAGACTGAGGCCAGCCATCTAGGCTCGGATCCCCTCAATGGGTTACGAGCAGCAAATTTATCTGGCTTTAATTGTATTAAAGTTATTATTTTCGCGTTATCATCCTTCTACATTTATGTGTTGCTATTTATATTTACAGAAAGATTATTATGTAAATTGTGGGCGTTTCTCATTTACTGTACTGACTCCGAGAGAAGCTTTGGTGCTAAGGTATTGCTGCAGTTCAAAATCCCGCTAGAAAAAATCACCAGGAAAACGTGGGGACCTTTGGCAAACAGCCGCCTTCTTGTCCCCGTCGAGGCCACTGGAAAGATGCTGTATGAGTACATGTGGATATATGTACAGTGTGCTATAATGAGTACAGGATGGTGTAATGAGTACATGGGGTACTTATCAGTATCCCATGAGTATATGGGGTATACTCATGGTATAATGAGTACAGTGCGGTACAACGAGTAAAGGTTAATTAAATGTGCATCTGGAATGTAAATGATGTAATACGTATGGGAGGAAGCAGAGTGATTGTTGTTGTTGGGGGTCGCGGGATAGCATGGAGAGGAAAGGGATAAGAGGAAATGTTTTCCGTTCTCCCACCCAGCTCCTATAATAGTGATTGCAGGAGCTGGGTGGAGGGAGAGAGAATGTCTGAGGGAGTATGTGAGAGATGTTGGGAGAGGTAGTATGACGTGAGGTGGTGGTAGGAGAGGAGAGTGAGAGGTAGGAGTGTTAAAGCGAGTTTTTGGGAGTGGGAGTACGTTGGTGGTGGGAGGGGAAGCGTGCATCTCACTTCATCCATGGTTCCTGCCCGCCATCTGAGGAGCTGGAGGAGCTATACAACGTGTGACAAGAAGCCTTGTACGCTGCATATAACCAATGTTGTAACCCTTTTTGTGTAATGACGTTTTCAAATAAAGTTAGATATATATACACATTCCAAAAGAATAGGGGTGGTAGAAGAAAATATCAAAGTGTTCAGTGAGGATCCACAAGGTCTTCTCTGAGTACTCTATATTTTCTTCTCCGAGGCTATGTGTGTGTACTAAGAAATTGTATAGTTAGTTTTACCATTAGATTGTTACTTGTTTAGCTAAATGAAATGCGGGGTTCAGTTCCTGAACCAATCATGTGCCTCTGTAACCCTTTCCACCGCCACCCCTGGGATGGATATGGGATGCATAATAAATTACTAAGCTAAAACCCCTCCAACTTAGCAGTGTTAAAATTTTCTACAAGGGAGCTAGATTGTTAAGCAACAGCAATAACCTTCCTTGTATTATTTTAACTAAAATGCCATCAATATATTTTCATGCCAACAGATTGTCTAGTTAAATACATCCTCCCAAATTTATAAAACCTATAGCTAGATGGAAATGTACAAAATAGACTTTTACCCCCTCCCACAAAAAAAAAAGTTCACTTTATGTACTATTGAGGCTCAATATGGCAAAGCAAACGTGAGACAGCAACCAAAAACCTAAACTGATCTGCTCTGGGTCTAACATACACAATCTTTGGCCTAATTTAATACATATTTACTATATTAGGTCTTAAAAATTACGTTTGGTTACGGCATTTTCACTGAATCTATACAAAATTAATATATAGTACAAAACATGGGACTATTTTGAGGGTGAAAGATCAAGTTTTGTACTTCCAAACATAGTAACTAAAGGTGCTATTGTTTTTAGATGACAAGTTGAATTAAATAATGATGCAATAAATAATTATCAAAAGAAGGTGCCAAGTTAGATGATGCAGAAAGGAATAATTATTTAATGATTATCATTCATCCATCTAACATGTACATACATACCAATGATACCACCTAAATGTATTGCACTTCAAAATCTGACATTCCAATTCCTTAATTTTACTCTTACCTACAATGACAAACTCTTCTTACACAAACTCATCTACACTTTCAATTCAAACACACTCTTGGCAAAGACCACCACATTATATGCATGCACACAATGTTAATACGAACACTTGATTCCCATCACAGTCCATTTACACTTACTACAGATGTTTTTACATTTACTTCCTTAACACTTCTACCAAATACAGGAGACACATTACACAACTCTAGGTCTTATGCTCATCCCACATTACAATTCTAAATTTTCCCTCCCAACTTTCACAGGTACTGTATTCATATAAAGGCATTTTACTGATGTTAATAAACTCTGATTCCAAAAAAGTATACAACTTTCTCTCCCTTTCTCTCCATTGCTAGAACTTTTCAACAACCATTCTCGCGAAAAATCTTCTATCTCCTTTACCCTAAACCCCTCCGTTACTCCCCAATCGTAAATTTCGTTCTCTACTTTATTTTTAATTTTCAAACACTTTCCGTAACATATTACATATCTAATACCTTATAGATTCCATATTCAAACCTTCTACCTTATTACTTATACACAGGGACCACAAAGGTATCATTCCAATCATCTGACACTTACCCTCCTTTCACGTGCAATTTGACATACATTACTGTACATACAAATGCATTCGCTCCTTTTTAACAAACAGCTTTCATCCAACCTTATCCCACTCAGTGGATTGTTCACTCACACCATGACCACCCTTCTTCTTGGCATACCTCTCACTCAAATTTATTCCAATGCTTCTTCGCCAGTCTCCTATTATTCATTCCTTCAATATACTCAAACCTGTTATTGACTTATGCACTTCGCATTTCTCTAACATTTTCATTTGTTCTTCATTTTTCCTATTGCTACACATGCTTCAAAGATAGTCCAGTTTTTAATGCATTGACTCATTGATTCATATGTTCATATCACTACAGTCTCAACCATATAAGTCAGCAATATTACATATAGCCCACTGGTGATATTTGTACCTATCATTTATTTTCTGATCAGGAGTTTCAATGCACCAACCACTTTCCACTCCCGCCTTCTACTTTTCATTTCTCAAATGTTTCATTTATCACTTGTCCCAGGAATTTAATTTGATTGAACATATCCAACACATTATAATTCACGTGTTTTTCATTTCACACTAAATTTCTTTCCTCTCCAACACCATAATTTTACTCTTGGCCACATTCACTTTTAAATTTCTCTCCATCATTTTCAACGCTAAGCCCTGAAATCATCTCAAGATAACTCTACATAACTATCTTTTACACGCTGCTAAAATAATCTGCATACTATACTCAAACTTCATATATTCTTATTTGACCCATTGACTAGGCTTACACCCTTCTTCATTAATATATACAGTACACACACACATTATATTATATATATATATATATATATATATATATATATATATATATATATATATATATATATATATATATATATATATATATACACACACAGATATATACAGGTACTGTAATTCTTTTCTGTATAATACTATAAATGTACGTACTGTATATGTATACCTTAATTATCTAGAAACCAACGCATGTAAATAAAAATGAATTCCATCCTTCTATGTACATCTTCCCTGGATTATCTATATCGGTGAAGTTGTACAGTATATATGAACATGCATCCTGCTTCCACAGGCATACCTGCATTATCTAAATTATATTAAATTGTACTGCATTTCTGTATACATAATACTGTTCAGCATATGGACATGTATCCCACTGCAGTATGCATACCTAAACATTATCAATGCACCCCTGTATGTATGGACATTATGTATTTAAATTATTACATTACACACACATAATTTAACATTTGTACTGCAAATTCCTAATCATTTTATGTGCATGCAGCAAGAAAAGTAATTAACAAAACATGTTATTCCCACCACCAACACACGTACAGTATTTGCTTTGCTACTCTTGGCTTGTGAGATAGTGACAACCAACCCATCAATCGGTTATTGCTGCCCCTAAATACTTGCATGCCATCTCCACAATTGTACTTTGTGCCAAATAAAGAAAATCTTTTATTTTCAAATATCATATCAAACTCCCAACGTTTATCCGTACCTGATGAGTTTACTCTACAGTAGTCTCGTACCCCCTAATACTTCCATTAATTAAAAAGACAATGTAGTTACCTCTCTAGATGTGGCTCAAACTTTAATATGAAGGACCCCAGACAGTAAAAAAATAAATGGAGCAGAAACTAATTTAATTTTATTAAACTAAGTTTAATAAAACCCAATCAAAGAACAAACTGCACAATACGGCATAGCATGTGCTTTAAGAGAAGTGTGTATAGATGCCAAAGGTTATGAATATCTTCATGAAAGTATAGAACATTAATATTAAAGTTTAAATCATTATCATATAAGATAAAACCAAAAGCTTTAAAGTAGAAGAAAAAACTTCAAACATAGCCAAGGCTTAAGGAAATTTTTCGGGAGTACAAACACTTTATTACTACATTAAATCAGCACAGCATACAATTAAAATGCCTCCCCACTGAAGCCACCTCTGAATTCTGTAGCCTGGGTTGTAGCAGCGGCGAGGTAGGGAAGCGTGGCCAACACCGGCAGTCATCAGTAGTGGCGAGTGCATGAATTTGTTCGTACACTACCTATTTAACTTACACCTAAGATTACACCTTCGTTCACCTATACAAGTAACTTCCAATTTCATGCTAACAGCATATGTGATGAAAAATTTATATTGTAATTACAAAAAGACCTTAACCATTAGTAGTTTTCCACTACTGTATGATTAATTTCATGAATCCTAGATCCCGAATTCTTCTATGCTATCAAATATAGTGTAATTATATTTGTTAAACTCCCCATATATTTTAATCTTTAATTCCATGCAGCCAGTAATCGTTCCTAACCTCCACTCTGCCCCAATACAAACTGCCCCATAGAAGACACTGAATTTTGTACAAGTTGCTTGAACAGTAAACAATGGTGTACAAAAACAAAGAAAGATGGTAGTAGAAACTAAAGGTAGATCCAAAGGATATGAATAATAACTATGTTAAACTTCATACATTTTTGGTCTAGCAATAAGAATATAGAATTTAGTAAACTGATGTAATGATACAGAATACCTGAAAAAAACAGGGTCCCCATGGTCAGCAGGTATTGAGACATGACTGCATGAAGTTACATAATACAGTGGCTGGGCAAGAGCTGAGTGTGGTGTTAGTCAGTTCTAGCCCTTTCACAATAAAAATACAGATTCAACAAGTGAGAGAGCACACCACTCAGGCCCTTCTTCTCTTAAACAGCTGTTGGCTGAGAATTAAACATTAATTTAAGGCCTCTACATTTATTTATAAGAATCAAATGTAAAACATTTTTATTTTTTACATATTTTAATACAGAACTGTTCACATTATAACTTTACTTTCAAACAAAGTACTTTAATAACAGCATACAACTGGAGGAAAAAAGCTTATGAGGTCACAACACAAGACTGCACCATTTTTCTGATTACATTGCAATAATTTTCTTGCAACTTGAATTGCACAATAAAACCACATTTACATTACGCAGTTTCACTTGGGCACTTGTTCACTGGTTGGTAGATGTGCACTGTACACTTGTTTCATCTGTACACTTGAGGATCATCACTTGGTACCATACCTTGCATGCACCACTACATTTGAGTGGGCATGCTGGGTCCATCGCTGAGCTGATCGATGACTGCGTGGATGCCGAAGTCACTGACCTACCTGAGTTGTATCATCCAGTGTGACTCATGTACCTAATGGACACTACCTTAATAAGCTATTCTGAGCTAATTATCTGTATTTTTTGTGCCAGCAACACTATACTTCTGTCAATCCACAAAGGAAAAATTATAGCATGCCCATTTTTATAACATTTCAGATAAAATTACTTTTGGACAAATGAAATAGGCCATTATGTACAAAATAGTCTAAAATTTATTAAATCTGACTTTAAAACGAAAAACATTGTAAAAAGCTAAAACATTGTACAAGTCGTGTTAATAAATCATATACTACATCACAGCCAAAAGGTACAGAGTCACTCGCCTGAGAGGAATATAAATAACATGACAGTCACCCATCACAGGTAGGCTCGTTACTTGCGGCATCAATGACCCCAGCAAATGTCAGGTACACCTCAAGTCGCATTGTCTTTTTTTGTCTTTGTTGACAGTCTAATTGAAAGGCCTACAAACCTCACACAATTCATCTGATAGTAAGTGCCAAAACAAATAAGCTATCAAAGTTGCATCATGATTAATGCATCACAGATTTGCATGACATTTTTATCGCTTTTCATTTTACACTATGTAAAGGCTCTCAAGTTTAAAATGTCTTCCTCAAAACCATAGTGTGAATGATTAGGCACACAACTTTAGAACACTGTTCAATAACACATTCCTCAATCCTCATTTAACTGACCACTAGTTTCGTCACCTTGTTCTCTGTTCTCGTCATCTTCCCTAGTTTCCTCATTTTCCTGCTCCATCACAGAGTCTTCCTCAGTTCCCTCATTGGCCTGACCATCACCATCTGCATAAGCATTACCCTCTCTGTGGTCATCACTACCTCCACTTTGAGGACTACCCAAAACCCTATCACTATCCTCTCTAGCTGCAACAAAACCAGCAAGAGAATCTTCTTGCTGCAGTGGTTCTTCGGGATCTTGAACTTGTGCACTGTGCTCTTGCAGAGAACTACCATCTTCAAGACCTATTGATGACAAACGCCCCTGACAGTGTTCCGTCTGTGACAAAGGATGTGTAGGCTCTTCCTGCGAGGCATTAGAGCTCACAGGTTTCTCTGCTTGTTGGGAGTCTTCTTGGCATAAATCATGCTGTTGAGAACCATCATGTTGGGTAATAACCTCATGAGTTTCCTTTTGAAACTTGTCGTTATTCACAGAATCCTTCTGTGACCATTCACCTGTATGAGCTTCTTCATTTAAAATATTAGTTTGCTGATAAGCTTTTTTACTGTCTTCACTAAATTTACTTTGAACAGATGCCTGTATATGGGACTCAAGACCATCATCTCTCCTATTATCATTAACTTGCTCCAAATTAGAATTATTACCCTGTGGAGATTTGTGTGATTCTGTCTCATTAGCAGATGGAGCAGTTTCTGATGTGCTACCTTCCTTTCTAGACTCAAAATTTTGACTGGACTCTGCATCATTGATTACACTTGTCCCTTGATCCGCATCATTGGTTACACTTTTCTTTTCAATCTGTGTGTTTTCCAATTCCATAGGTGTAGTTTCTATTTCCATAGGTGCACTTTCTACTTCCATAGGTGTACTTTCTACTAGTTCCATAGGTGCTCTTTCTGCTTCAATAGGTGCATTTTCCACTTTTGAAGGTACTCTTTCCCCTTCTTCAGATGCACTTTCTACTTTTGTAGCTGCTTTTTCTACTTCTAGAGGTGTAATTTCCACTTCTCTGGGTGCACCTTCCACTGCTATGGATGCACTTTCTACTTCTGTAGTTGCACTTTCCACTTCAGTAGGTGCACTGTCTTTAATGGGCTTCTCTTCAAGTTCATCTTTCCCAACTTCAAGCTTTGCTGTTTCATCCTGTTTATCTTTCTGGGAAGTATTTTTATTATGTTCCGTGGGCAAATCTGCAGTGCTTAAACTTTCTTTGACTCCTTGTTTAGATTTCTCTTCATCTGGTGTATCTTCTTTGTTATTTACATCAGATCCCAGAGGAACAGTATCAGCCATCATAGCCCAAACATCCCAACTACCAGGTGCCCCATCTTCCATTTCTACAACTGATTCTTCCTCTTGTGGAGTTCCTTCTTCCTCACGTGGAGCCCATCTTGACTTTTCCCATGGTCGCTTATCATCCCTTCTTTTGTCGCTATCCCGTGATCTTTCACTATCTCGTGATTTACTATCCCAAGACCTATCATCCCGAATACGGTCATCACGAGATCGATCATCCCGAGTCCTGTCATCTCTTGATCGAGTCTCTCTTGATCTATCATCTCTTGAGCGATCATCTCTAGATCGATCATCCCTGGAACGATCATCTCTGGTACGATCATCTCTAGAGCGGTCACTTCTGGAACGGTCACTCCTAGAACGATCATCCCTAGAGCGATCATCCCTAGAGCGATCATCCCTTGGACGATCATCCCTAGAACGATCATCCCTAGAGCGATCATCTCTTGACCGTTCACCTCTTGATCGATCATCTCTAGAGCGATCATCCCTGGAACGATCATCTCTGGAACGATCTTCCCTGGAGCGGTCATCCCTGGAACGGTCGTCCCTGGTACGATCATCCCTAGAACGATCTTCCCTGGAGCGATCGTCCCTGGAGCGATCGTCCCTGGAGCGGTCGTCCCTGGTGCGATCATCCCTGGAGCGATCTTCTCTGGAGCGGTCATCCCTGGAGCGGTCATTTCTAGGGCGGTCATCCATAGATCGATCTCGATCCATGGAGCGGTCTCTATCAATGGAACGATCTTGGTCAATTTCACGAGCTCCCATTTCACGAACTCCCACATCACGAGCTCCCATTTCACGAACTCCCATATCACGAGCTCCCATATCACGAGCACCCATGTCACGAGCTCCCATGTCACGAGCTCCCATGTCACGAGCTCCCATGTCACGAGCTCCCATGTCACGAGCTCCCATGTCACGAGCTCCCATTTCTCGAGCTCCCATATCTCGAGCTCCCATTTCCCGAGTTCGTTCATCATCACGAGAACGTTCATTGTATCTGTCCATATCTGAGGGTCTATCTCCATCCCGGGATCTGTCAGAATCCCAGGGTCTGTCAGGAAGACCATCCCTAGATACTTGTGGTCCTCCATGTGGAACATCATGGCCCTGAAACCTGGGACCAGGTCCATCCATCCACATACCTGTGAAAGTTAAGTAATTTCAACAAAAACTACATTTTTGAGTCTCAATAAAGCCTTGCCTTGCTTTCATTTAAATATAAAAAGATAGTCAAATGAGGGAAAAAGATACTGTAGTAGATAATGTAATGCATTATTAATATTCTATATTTTCCATAAAGCTCAACAGTTTTTGTATAAAATATGTCATGAAAGGACACAGTAACTATTTTTTATCAGCAGCTTTCACTACCACCACAAACTTTTTTACTCTCACCATTTAATTTAGCTTGGTGAAATGTAAAGTTGAAATTCTGTAGTGTACATTCTGTAATAAATTATCATATGTAAAAAAATTTACAAATATAAATGTCACTACAATGATCACTGCCAAAAAAATAAATATTGGATACAAACTTTATAACATATGGCATACATGGAACAAACTAAATAGACGACATAAAACTAAGATTCTGTTATATACTATATTATGCTGTATTCCAAAAGTTCTGAACTTGAATTCATCATAAATTTTTCAGATGTTCTGACATAAGATTGAAAATAATCACTTGCTTGTCAAATGTTAAACAGCTGCTTCTGCCACAGTGTAAGCATAAACTTAAAATTTTCCTATATTTTTTAACAGATAAACTCCATAAGCTGAAAACCCTTCCCTAGATGAACCAGCCCCACAACATAAACTAACGGTTGTTCAACATCCTCCCAGCGAGTATAAGAAATATGGCTAGAACAACCGTGGACATCTTCAAGAGAAAACCATATAGTTTTCTTCAAGAAGTGCTGGACCAACCGGGCTGTGGTGGGTATGTGGGCATGCGGGCCGCTCCAAGCAAGAGCCTGTTGCTTGGAGCTATCAGCATGACCAAGCTATCACATGTCAAGCCTGGCCTCGGGCGTGCTTGGGGAGTAGAAGAACTCCCAGAACCCCATTAAGCAGGTAACTTGTCCAATGAAGAAGTGGTTGTCATTGTTAATAGCTTTAATATTATGATATGTCTACTAAAGAGAGATCACAAGTGCAGTAATTGTTAAAAGAAAAGGCTAAGCCAGCATGCCACAGATAATTCAAGCATTCCTAGATATCCCTCACGAGCAGGTCTTTTCTTTAATGTATGTGTATTTAGAAGATAACAAATATACCTTTCACCTGTGCAGCGGCATGAGAGGATGTAACATCCCTGGATACTGAGAATTGAGAGTACGAAGTGGGCTCCGAATTACTAGGGGAGAACCCACCCCTATTTGCATTACCAGAACATTCAACTTTACTGAATTTCTTACCATGAATGTCAAGAAATGAATGGCCATTTTCACAATGTTCAATCACTCAAAGCTATCTTTATCTATCATAAACTATCTTTAACAGATAGTGTAACTTGAATAAACTCTTAATATAGCCATCATAATTACTACTACTACCAGATATGGCCTGAACAAAAAATGACATAAGTTTCTGTTACCCCCTTAACCCCTTTTAGGACAAAATAAATATTGTATGGTCCTCACTCACTGCCAGCTGGTGGCAAAAGACACCTTGCAGGTAGAAAATAACAAAAACTTTAAATGTCTGATTTAAAGATTGTGTGATACTAGAATATTACTAGATTGTGTGATGCTTAAGTGACATAAAAAGAAGTACCAAGGCGCATACAGTTTGCAAATGACACAATGATAATGGCTGAGCCAACCAAAGCTGCTACACCAGCCTGTCCTCCTGAGGGTTCCCAACGTCACTAAACTCTTGTATTAAAGGGCCAGAACCTAACCAACCTGAGGACCTACAAACAGAAAATAGGACATCAAGTCAGTTTCGTGAGTCGCTACAATTTTTTGTACACTGCTTTTGCCTTAGGTAAAGCATACGTCAAAATGTGATGTGCTATTGGGAGAATGGGTTGGCTCCATAGCCATATGTAGAAGAAAACTAACAGTACCATGTGATTAAACTGCAGAGACAGGGAGGAACATTCTTGGAGAATGACAAAGTGTGTGAACAACTCAACAAGAAGTTCCAGGAGGTCTTCAAACCAGCACCAGACTGGTATCCAAGTAGGGATGCCAACAGATAATCAGAAACTATACTCAACAGAATTCAAGTAATGTCGAAAAGATAAAAAGAAACCTGGAGGAATTAGATATAACAAAAGTAGTACCACCGGGCAAGATATCAATATGGTTACGGAAGGAAGTTGCATGGATCTTGTGTTACTGATTAACTATAATGATCAACATTAGACGAAAGACTGGAGAGCTACCGAAAATCTGGAAAACGACAAATGTACTGTATTTCTAATATTCAAGAAATGGGACAGATATGAAGGATTAAACTATATATACTACGTGCATTTCAGGCAAGATTCTAAAAAAAAAAAGTCACCAGAAAAAAGATGTTGAACATTTGGGGAGAAATATTATATGAGAGGTGTAACAGAAATGGGATGGTCACAATATTTACACATTCAGGAGAATTTCTCTTACACACCAGAAGGTCTCAGCCTTCGACCAATTGATCGGATATCTGAGATACCCATTCTCCCATCGAGGGGTGTCTCCATACCAGGTTTACACAGCTGAGACTTGACATAATAGCTGGACCATACATACATACATACATACATACATACATACACACATACACATACACACACAATATTCCAAAACTAGAAGACAGAAGAAAAAGGAGGGATATGATCACTATGTACAAAATAGTAACAGGAATTGATAAAATCAATAAGGAAGATTTCCTGAGACCTGGAACTTTAAGAACAAGAGGTCATAGATTTAAACTAGCTAAACACAGATGCCAAAGAAATATAAGAAAATTCACTTTTGCAAACAGAGTGGTAGACGGTTGGAACAAGTTAGGTGAGAAGGTGGTGGAAGCCAAGACCATCAGTAGTTTCAAAGTGTTATATGACAAAGAGTGCTGGGAAGACGGGACACCACGAGCGTAGCTCTCATCCTGTAACTACACTTAGGTAATTACACACTAGGCAGGGCGAGATGTATAGGGCAAGTCTCCTTACACCCAGTGCCTCTGTTCACTTAGCAGTGATAAGGAACCTGGGTGTTAGTCGACTGTTGTGGGTAGCATCCTGGGGAATGGTCAAATGCTGCATATATCCGAGGTGTACTCGAATTTCCCACAAATGCCACAAGGCACAGCACGAGGAAAAAGCAGGAAGGCTACAAGTGAAATATGCCACAAGATCATTGCAACAAGTGGGCCAGAAGGTTCCCTTCAAAGCATTATACGACAAAGAGTACTGGGAAGACAGGACACAAGTGTAGCTTTCATTCTGTAACTACACTTAGGTAATTACACACACACACACACACGCACATAGTTTACTTAGCAAAATTAAGGCAACGAGGGTCCTCAGACTGATATTCAAATCTGATTAATCTACTATCATTTTCTCAAGAATATAACACGTACAATTAGGAGGAGGAGGAAGAATAGGAGGATTGATTATCATTTCAACCAATATATGCACCAAATTTCAGACTTGCATTCATTAGTTGATAGAATTTTCTCCATTTATTACTGTTGTCTACTTAATAACTTGTTACTCATGTATGCCATTGTTATGAGAAAATAAAATTATGTAATAATGAATGATGATAGCCAATATACACAGTAATATTAAACATAATCCTCAAGCAACAAATAAAATTGTTTTTATTGGTGCAATATAAGTTGTATCTATATAATATATCATATATTCTTTTAAAAGCAAATTTATACTCACCTGGCCGCTGTCCTGGCATTCCACCTGGACCTCTCATTCCTCCTGAAGAATTTGGTCCACTAGGCATATCTCCCATGAGTGGAGGTCTATTGCCCAATAAGGAACCCATGTTCATTGGTGGGGGAGCCAGCAATCCTCGGGGGTTATTGAATCCACCTGGTCCATGCATACCTCGAGGACCAAAGCCTATGAAGAAGAAAATTCATTTTGCTTGATGAGTGAATACAGAAAATTACCTTCAAAACAATGAGACTGACTATGAACAATTTTATAATAAGAATGAGGTTAAAACTTGAAGATTCTCCAATTTAGAAGAGTAATTTTGACTTTGTTAAAAGTATCTATTTTTAAGTGAAATCAAGTGAGCTTTACAAGTTACCACCTCTGCAATCTGTACTCTCTGATTGTACAGATTGTACAGTGGGAATGCTCTCTGTCGAGCATTCCCTTTTCTGATTGTGTATCGTTCTCACATGCTTATTAGCACCGCTGTACTTTTTTTTCCACATATCACTGGGGAGTGCATTATTAGTAATGATAGAGGTGGAGTTTACTAACTGGTGATGATGGAGTAATGGAGCTATTAACGATGGAGGTGGAGCTTAATCAGATTTGGTATTGAGAATCGGAAGGGGAAGGGAACTATTAGGAGAAAGCACGAAACCATTACAATTATATAGCACTTGGAATGGGACAGGGGAAGGAATGGTGCCCAATCACTTGAATGGTCAGAGGATTGATCACCAACCTGCATGAAGCAAGATTGTCACTCTACCGTCCAGCCCAAGTGGGTGGGCCGAGAATCGAAAGAATCAAGCATTTTTAGTACTGTAATCGTATTGGAATCGAGATAAATGTATCATGATTTCAGCTTCATAAAAAATCCTTTAAAATTTAATAACAAAATTATAACTATTGTAATAATATTCACTTTATTTCAAATAAGAATACAATTTGTATTTTATTTTATAATATACAATTAAAGCACAAATATTCACATGTATAATGAAATGTTTTCACTTTTCAGGTTTCTTCCAGAAGATTAAGCCGGATTTACCAGTTGCTTTTTATTCTTAAATGAATTTATTGTATTATTAATACATTCATCATGCTCATAATGTAAATCATTAAATTTTTTAACTAAAATATAACAATTTTCAGAAAAACAAGTGTCTAAATATATATATATATATATATATATATATTTTTTTTTTTTTTTTTTTTTTTTTTTTGAGATATATACAAGAGTTGTTACATTCTTGTACAGCCACTAGTACGCGTAGCGTTTCGGGCAGGTCCCTGGAATACGATCCCCTGCCGCGAAGAATCGTTTTTTCATCCAAGTACACATTTTACTGTTGCGTTAAACAGAGGCTACAGTTAAGGAATTGCGCCCAGTAAATCCTCCCCGGCCAGGATACGAACCCATGACATAGCGCTCGCGGAACGCCAGGCGAGTGTCTTACCACTACACCACGGAGACTGTAAAGTCTCCGTGGTGTAGTGACTGACTGACTGTGACTGAGTGACTGACGTGAGGTGTAGTGACTGTGACTGACACGGAGACCGGAGATTTTTGAAACGAATCAATAATCGTACCCGAAGACTTTTTAATCAAGACATCAAAGCTTTTTAGCGACATCGGCATCGGTATTGGAATCATTACAAATTTTAGTATCACCCCATCACTATTATTACCACCCATCAATACTTCCCTATCAGTGACTATGGGGCAGTGAAATCTAGCTTTTTTTATGCCCTAGCTGTTCATATCTGGCATGTTAATTATCTTATTCAACATTAACATTTTCATAAAATATTTTCTTAAAATTGCGAATTGAAATGGCCTTTAACAACCTCTTCCTTCAATGAATTCCATTTCCTAACCAGCTGTACAGAGAAAGCAGAACAAGCAAACAGATGAAAACTGGAAACAGGAATGAGGTAGTAACGTATGAAAATATTTGTACTTAGTAAGAGTAATACATTAGAATCACTTCTTTATTACCTCTCCAGGTAATTCTAATATTTTTATTGGAATTACACTGCTGATTAAGCACACCATTACCTGCTTGATGGGGTTCTGGGAGCTCTTCTACTCCCCAAGCCCGGCTCGAGGCCAGGCTTGACTTGTGAGTTTGTTAATTCATTGTTAAGTAAACAATGAAATGTGCTTACAGCAGAAGTCACAGAAACTATTTAGAGTAAGAGCTAGAAATATTCAGGAAAATACCTGACAACCATCTCCAACATTTAAACAACAGCTTCTTTACATAAGTATTTTGCAGTGCATTTCATTTTGGTCTTCTATATTGGAGATACACAATAATCTATTACATGAGCAGAATGTACCAACCTGGGCCATTGTGTCCAGACATCATACCCATGCCCATGTGACCAAAGGCATCATTCCTCAACCCAGTGTGTCCGTGTGGACCTGGTGGTCCACCCAGCATTCCTTGTGGACCACCTGAGCCTCCACCTGGGGGACCGAATCCTGGCACTGGAACAAAATTATTATAGCCGCCATGTCCTCCCGAGCCCCCAGGCCCAATGGGACCATTTGGACCAGCATTACAATCTGGACGGAAGTTTGGAGGACCATCAGGTCTTCCTTGCTGAGAAAAGCCAGGAGGAGGACCGCTAAAGTTATCAGGTCCAAAACGATCTGTAAAAAACAAAACCCTTTTATTAGTGACTAATCAAATATCAAGAAACAAATAGAACAAAAGTGAGTGCCTTATTTTCATTTGATCCCTTCAGATAAATACATTACTGCACTTAAGTACAGTAATGATATAAATAAAATAGATGTGATTCAAATTTCTTCTACTGCATTTCTATAGCTTGGATGCCTTTCAATCCTGGGAGGGTTTATCACCACAAACTTTCAAATATTTTAAATTCTCTGATCTCTCCACCTACCTTTTCTTTAAATATTAATCCACCTTTCCATTCAAAGATACTGGTTGTGTTTCTTTACTGAATGACAACTTGTATTTCCCCATTATATGTATACCTTACTCATTATTTTTTGCACTTTTGAACACACTGCATCTTATCATACCAAAATTATCAGGCCAGGATTTTATGAATGACCTACACACACACTCAGGCCTGTGGGTAATGGTGTTCTCAACCTTACACATCTCCTTCAGAACACAAAGGATCACAAAGGTATGATATAGCAATGAGAAAATCATTTGGTGCAATGAAGCGACTTGCTTTCCTTAACTCCACCATGATAGAACAAAAGTGTCCGAGAATCACTAGAATGCTGGTGATTCAAAGCCGCCTTTGCCCCAAATGATTACCCCATTCATGTATCACACCATTGTGATTTCATCGTGTCCTGAAGAAGAGGCGTAAGGTTGAGAACACCATTACCCACATGACAAGAGTGTAGGCAAGCCATTTATAAAATCCTGGTTGTGGCACCAGTTGTGGCCTTCAGACCCGTGAAGTGAATTCAGCAGTTTTCTGGACTGAATAGCCGTTGTCCTATCGTGGCCGAGCTGGTTAAGGCAAGCATCTGGGAACCACTAGAATGCTGGTTCACATCACCTCATTGCCTCAAATGATTATCTCATTGATATATCATGCTACTGTATTGTGGTTACTTTGTGTTCTGGTCTTTACTTTATTTACTTATTTCCATTTACTAACTTCTAATTGAATATTATCACTATTTACTTGGTTAGTATATATGGCAACAATTATATGGAAATATTACTTCTGTTCTGGTAGCACTAAGTATTTTTTGTATAGCACCCTTATATATTTCTATGGCTTGTTACAACAGTTTAAATTTTCCCAGAGATGAACAGTACTGTGTTGGCAATCACTGCTTGGGATTTCCTTTCACTTTTTCACAAAAGTTAAATGTCGTTGAGGTAATCTAATTTACTGTTCAATGTGCCGTTATATTTTAGTGGTTGATTGAGAGGGAGTAGAGATGGTTTGGGCACCTTGAAGGAATGGATGATGAGAGACTGAAGAGTGTGTATTCAAGTGAAAATGTAGATAGGAGAGAAAGACTGGGCAAACACAGGAATAGTGAATTGTGTGAAGATGAAGAGACTGCATAAATAGCACATATGATGTGGAAAGAAAACAAGTTATGTGGCAACAGATTGTGAACTAAAGATAAGTTTTGTTTAACCCTTAAACTGCTAACTGTTAAATAGCCAACATCCCCAGGGCACTCAAGAAAAAAATTGTTCTGAAAAAATTATTTTTTCTTATGAGATTGTTAATTAGCTTTCAGGAAGCACAAAAATCCAAATAAAAAGTCTCTAGCTCTTTCGTGGTTTAGCTGTAGTGGCCTGGAGAAGTTGCATATTTTTAGTCGAGGTGCCGCATAGGAATAACTTTGTTGATTTATTTTCATTGTTTCTCAATTTATTTATTTAGTTTTTCATGCAAACAGGTTGTATTTGTGTTAAAGTTACTGTCTATTATGTAAAACTTTGAAAATAAAAGTATGTATGGATATACAAGTATAGATATAAAGACACCCACATACTTATTCATAATAATACATGTATATATATGTATTTTAAGCCTAAATCTTAAAATTGTATATAGCACACATTTTGCCTCAAATATATGCATGGCTGCCCTATGTCCTATCACCATCCTCTATGGCTGCCCTAAACATTCACACACTGGATGGTGATGTTAAGTTAAAACGTACGTACATACATACATATACATACATACATACATACATATATACATACATATATATAATAGATTACACTTGCTTAATAAACACACAAGTTAGAAGATTTTATTAATATTATGCCAATACTGATCCGTTTTTATCTCCAGGTTGATGCCTTTTCCCCTTATGGATGTAAATCGGAAATGAAGTAATAACAATGAAGGAAAATGCATTTTTGCAAAATCACAATTATATTACAATTTTGACACCCAAACAAACAATTTAACATTAAAGTACTTACTAGTTTCCCGTCCCCTCATGTTATCACGGTCATGATCTCGATCACGCATACGGTCATCTCGCTCATGCATATCCCGCCCTCTATCCTGATCTCTGTCTCGTCTATCCCGGTCATATCTGTCTCTGTTTTCCATATCGCCACCAGATGCCAGGTTCCGTAACCGCTCCACCAAACCTATTTTGTCTTCCCCTGGTTGCGGTGATCGGTTCCCTGGACGTTCAAATCTAGAAGGTCTATCACGTCGTCTTTCACCACGATCATCCTTTTCTTTGGGAGGAAGGCCATTTTCTTTCCTGAAAAAGAAACAAAAATTAATAAAATGAGAAAACCTTCAACTGAAAGAAACTACAAGAATAATTTGTTTCAGTACCTTTTACAAAGATTAAGGCTCATAAAATATCCAGCAAGAGCCCTGATTGCCAAATCTATACTCTATCACATATAGCAATGCTCTTTGTTAACTCTTTGTACAAGTTAACAGCATTGAATGACTTATCTAAGGGCAAATGACTGATTAACCCCTTAACTGCACACCTAAAATTAATTTGATTTCCTTGCGTGTATAAAACAGTTTTCTTTTTATACCGTATTATAAAACAATGCTTACTGACGTCTGGAAAATGCAGCAAATATTCTACTTATTTTAGTTTGGCCATAGTGAGGTGAACAAATGTTAATCACATCATATTCTGAGGAATAATTTTCAGGTTTACTATTTGTAATAGATTACTCGCTATGATTTCATTAGTAGAATCTTTCAGGTCCATAAAATTACATACAAATTTGCATGGTGTCAATGGTTCCTAGCATGGGTATCAGTCAATGGATAATGATGCACTGGACATGATGCCTAATATTTCACTAATGCCCAGAAAAAAACATTCAGGATTTATCTAATATGGCAAGTGATTGCCAAAGGTCTCTTAAGTGTTCATCCACATGCACATAAAATTGGTGGCACTCTCCACGCTAGACCCTTGAACCAGAGGCTAAAACTTGGACCCCTATAAAGAGGTGCAAGGAGCGAGAGATCCCAGATCACTCCAGATATCTTGCTAATTACACCTGTGCACCACCAGGGGAATGCACACCTTTCTCCTCAGTTTTCTACCCTTCCTCCTCAGTCATTTAGCCAAGACAGAAAAACTGAAGCTCCTGAATGGGGAAGGGAGGGTCCCAAGAAGCCACCAAGGGGCCATCTACTATAGCTTTGACAATGTTTGCAGATTTAGTAATACATTACTTTAGTATTCCAATGATATGGGGAGGATGGTTGGTGGGGAATAAAATGGTAGGCAGAATAAGCTGTTGGTGCTGGGGGTTTCCACTTTGCTATGGAAGTCATTGGTGATGGCCTTCTCCAGGGGGGTCCTGTTGGACATCAAAGCTTCCAGCCTTGCTTGCTTACATATTTTTTTTAAGATGGGGACTATTCAGATAACTTGACTTATTTGTAAATCCAGGTCAAGTCTGGCACAATAAACTGTACAGTATTGTACAGTTGTTTGAATTTTGGAGGTTACACTTTATATCATAAATGGAACCAAGAACAACCTGTTTGATTTCACTATTGTGGAATGGTGCACAGATAAAATCAAGAGACTGGCTGCAAATGGCTGTTGATAAAATAATATAATGAAATTCAATACAGTGCAGTATAGACATTTTTCACTTACCCCATTTCGTTTTTGTCTACATCTTCCATTTCAATATCCATATCATTGGAGTCATGTGAATGTGAGTTGCTAGTTCCCATATGGCCACTATTAGACATATGGCCACTATTTGTCATATGACCACTATTTCCCATATGACCACTATTTCCCATATGACCACTGTTCGTCATATGGCCGCTGTTTGTCATATGGCCGCTGTTCGCCATTGTCGTAATTGGAGATGAGTTGATACTGTTTTGCATGTCACTTCCAGGAGGCACTGGGAAAAAAGAAAATAACATACAATTTATGAATTAAAAACAAAACACTAAACAATGCTTCAGTGGAGATTTTGTAACTATTCCAGCATTTCCTAAAAATAGTACTCTAATTTTCCAAAATAAACTATACACAGTGTGACTGAACAAGAGCAATTTGGGGACTCAACTCCCCTCTAGTGAGGCTCACTTGGCCTGGAATTGTACAGTTTCTGACAAGCACAAAATATGATGCCATCAGACAAGCACCCCACGTGTTCTTAAGCTGCAATAAAATCCTTGAACTAAACAGGAACCTACATGTTATCACATAACTTCTCACTAAGTTAGCGAGTGAGAAGATTTACATAAAAGACGAGGTAAATATAAGGAAAAAACTGGAGCATAAAGAGCCCAAATGATGTGGAAATGTTCTGTCCAAGCACCAGGGAGCCAGAGGGGCTTTCAAAAAAAAAAAAAAAAAAAAAACTGGGTAACTGCCTCTGTTAATGCCAACAATTGAGCCACTACCGAGTGCAAAGAGAAAAAAAAATCCTTGGAGTCCAGTCCAGGAGCTAAATCCCATCTCATTCCATAGAAAAGCAAAACCACCACCCAGAGAAACCCTGGAAAGAGAACACAGATGCCTCCCACTCAAAGAAAGCTAAATTTGGCTGAATTGGTACAGCTGGCAATATAAACTGGCACAAAAAAGGATAACAAAAATGGAATCAAACACTTGGATAAAATAACAGACTGTACAGTACTTACTCATTTGTCTGTTTGGCATGTTGGCCATGCTTACTGGTGGTGGCATGGCACCAATGAGCGGCTGCCCTAAGATGGAGGAAACTGGAGGATGTACACCCATTGGTGGAAGTCCTAAGGGTGGAGGTACCCCTAGTGGAGGAAGATTGGGTGGTCCAAAGCCTTGAGGAAGTGGAGGCATGCCCCCATGACCAGGACCATGACCAACTTGTGGGGCTGTAAATAAATAATAATATATATTAATATCACTTCATAAGTAAAAACAATAAAAGACTTAGTACTCAGCAACATATATTGTGTATACTGCATACGAAATACAACCAAATATACTCTCAGTATTATACAATGAATCCCTGACTTATGGACACTCTTCCAAGTCCCTATTTCTGTATCTGAGCCTGTTATTCTAACCAGCTCTGTTGGCCCCAAAATTTGAAGGGTGCTACAGTTACATCTGCATGGGCACACAGCTGTGTAGGGCACTACAAAAAATCCTATTACTTGCTACCATGCAAATAAATAACTGCATATCAAGATTCAAAGGTATACACAGTGGTACCTTTGTAATTGGCATCTCCCAATTACCAGATTCTTGGGTTAATCTGAGAGAAAGAAATCTGATTTGATTGCAAAAGTGGCAGATTGTGTACAATGATTCTTTAAAAGAAATTCATCAGCCTAGCCTTTGATATACACAGTTACTGTTAACAAAGGAGCCCTATACTGCTACCCATAAAATTTGCCAACACTTTCTCTGTAGATATTAAAAATTAAAAATTACTATTATCTCCATTCACTAAGAGATAACATAACTAGGAGACAAGTTTTTAATTGACTGGCAAAACTGGAGAAGAATCAGTTTGAAGAGAAAAACACTGGCACTGACTTAAAGAAGTCAATTATTATCAGGAAAGATCAGGCATTATCATCAGGAAAGACGCATAATATTTGGTGGAGTAACAACATGATTTGCAAAGGGAAATTACAGGAATGAGAGGGAAGGAGGTGAATCAAACAGGATAGGAATGGAAATTAAGCAGGACAAAGAGGAAGAAAAGGTGTATGTGAAAGAACCAACATTGAATGTAATGGAACATCTCTTTCTTGGGAATGGGAAATCCTCAGTGACTCCCTGTTGCTTTACACACAGGGTCCCACAGAGTTCTGTACTTGGATCTATCTTATTCTGATATATGTGAATGATACTCCAGAAGGTATTGACTCATTCCTCTTGATGTTTACTAATGATGCTAAAATTATGAGGAGGATTAAGACAGAGGACAGCAAGTAGCTAATGGATGACCTGGATAGACTGAAGGATTAGTACAACAAATGGCTACTAGAGTTTAACTCGAGCAAGTGCAAAGTGATGAAGATAGGAATAGGGAGCAGGAGGCCAAACACAAGGCACCAGTTGCGAGAAGAAATCCTTCATACACAGATTCAAATGTTGATATGATAAGAGCCCAGTAAGCTCAGGAATCTGTTCACCAGTTGATTGACAGTTGAGAGGTGGGACCAAAGTGCCAAAGCTCAACCCCCGCAAGCACAACTAGGTGAGACACAATTCACATTAGCCCTAGGAGTCCTTGATAGCCTACTGGTGACCAGCAGTCAAAACATGGCACCCTCATAGAGGCAGAAGAGATAGAGGATTCAAAATCACCCTCAGCAAAGAACCCCCCCCCCCACTCCAGAAATGAAGCAAAGCAAAATAGACAACTGGAAGGTTCATAGAAGCTAAAAAAACAAAGCAGGAAATGATTCTGCAATTGATCCACCCAATAGTTAGGTCACACCCCATCAAGTTACCGCTGGCCACTGCCAGGTGGCAAGCACCACAAAAGATGCCAGCTCCCGTAAGTCAATAATGATCAGCCTGAAATTTAAGAAAAAGACTAACCAACACATCTGGTTGGGAAGGAGGGTCGAGGGAGCTCTCCCCCCCCCCCCAAAAAAAAAGACATGTTTCACTACACTCAAATCCCTGAAGGAGAAAGACCAGGATGGGAAACACTATCCTAAAGGGTGACAAGGACTAAGCAACAAGCTGCCAGTTGGGTTGGGACCCAATTAAACCCCCAAAACCCCTGAGCCTGGAAAACATCTCAAGACATTCAGAAAAAAACAGCAGACAAAGCTGCAAACCTTCAAACAACATGAGCCTATGGGGAAACCACAGGCTGGTTAAACCTAAAGACCCAGCAGATGCTCTAAGAAAAACAGGCTTTGGAACAGGGGACCTAGGAGACGATCAATGAACAATGCATCCTCCCAAAGAAGCAGAGACAGTATCCAGTAGATGCAGCACAACAACAAAAATGACAATAAGGACATGGCTGCTGAAACCAAAACAAATAACAATGAAGACAAAAATACAAAAATGAAAGAAAACCTCGTACTGCTGCCTGGACAAAGACACAGGTGGAAGTACAAGAGCTAAGTCACCTGCATACCATACAAATTGCAAAGGACCTGCATTGGAAGTACCAGATGCAAAGACACAAGGAAAACATTGAACTAGTGAGAAATAGCTCCAGACTGACCCACATAAAGAGGCGGAGCCGCAGAAAGATCCCTGGTTTGGACACCGAGCCAGAAATGCTGGAAACCAAGGAAGAGTCATCCACCAAGGAACCAGTAGGATCACCCTGTCAGTTTAATTTAAGTCTCCAATCAGGGCAAAACTGGGCACAACAGCTGAACAGGAGGGAAGAGATATTCGAACTCCCACCTTAACCATTACAGCCAAAAGGTATCTAACACAAGAGCCTCATGATTGAAGAATGAGGCCATGCAGGACAGAACCTGCTGGCACCAAGCCAGTTCAGAAAGACATCCACCCTCAAGTGACCAGATCTTTCACAAAACTAACAGGACATGTTGGAAACTGTCTATTCCTTGGAAATGGGATAGAAGCAAGAGAGAATCTCCATGAGAATGTAGGACACACCAAGCATGGAAACTGCATGGAGAACTAGACCCAAAGAATCCAAAAGGCAGGTTACTTGCAGAGACCAGCTCTAAAAAGGAAAATATCAAAGTAATACCCCGTAATTAAAAAATAAACCATTGGAGAGCAGCTAGAATGGAGATGAAGAATGTAGCCCAGAGGGAGATGCACCTGCCTCATGGCCTGTCATACCACCACAAGCTTGTGAATCATACTGTCTGCCCAAAGGAGAGGACTGGAGTCCACTGACCCAGGAAGACCTGGAGACTCCCAAGCATAAAACCCAAAACCAGGGCTGAGGAGTCCAGAAACACCGAGTAATGGAGGAGGAAGGTGCCACGGTATCAAATCCTAAAAAGCGTGAAGAGGAAACTGGTGAATCAAAAGCTGATGATGAGCAAATTGAGCTCTTACTCAACAAGCCTGGTGGAAACGAAAGTGAAAGTACCGGAGCCAAAGTTCTGACTCCTTCACAACTACCTGACCAACTGATAAAGTATCCAAAGCCCTACCAACACCAGAGATAAATCTGCAGGTAGAGCATAACCTCAAGTGTGGAGGGAAGGGGAAGTATATCAACCAATGAAAGTACAGGCAAGTACAGCACACCAGATGATCTGAACAAGCCTGCAAACATCCCAAAGAGGAAAACCATTCGAAATCTGCACTGCGTCTGCAAACGTCCCAGAGGGAAGCGAGCCATGAGGGAAAACCCTCCGAAACCTGCACTGCAAGCAACACACCCTCAACAAATACCACTGAATTCAAAATGTTCAGGCTGCCCTGGAACAAGATAGAAAACAACCAGTTGCAGGGACAGACAGCAAGTGAAAACAGGCCCCACAGAACCACTGTAGTCGAGAAGCAGAAGCAAAAGCAACTGCACAAGGAGTTGCTACATCCCTACAAATCGGGGCAGAACCAGAAAAAACGGGCTAAGCTACAGTAGTGCAAACAATGAACAGACGAAGAAAACACAAAATATGGAACCCAACCTCATACTGCTTTAGCATATACACATGGTAAAAGCCCTGCCTAGACCCTAAGAAAAAGAACTCATGTCCACAAGGTGGAAAAGAGGGGCCTCATAATTGCAACTTGAAAGGCAGAAGCTGATCAACACTCAAAACATGCCAGGTCAAACAAGGAAGTGAGGAGGGGGGGGGGCCATTCCCAAAAAAATCGACCTAGCTCAACACAGAGAAAAGTGGAATGATATAAACCTCCTGAGATGCATATCCATGGACACTACCAGGCCATGGAAATGCACCTGGGAAGGGGAGCCAGGGAACTTTCATCCAATTTAAAAGCCTATCTAGAATTCAGGCATGTCAAACACGCGGTCCACGGGCTGCATGCGGAAACAAACGATACTATTTTCTGCAATAACTTTTTATTAAATGACTTCAATTAGTTGTGGTGTGTGGCCCTCATGACAACACAAACATAACCTGTATGGCCCTCAGGGACCCTCAGTTTGACATGCCTGATTCTAGATCATCTTGTAGTGATTTTGCCTTCAAATTTATTTCCTGGCTTTTTTATTGTCTACTGATATGTAAATGTTGTTTTTCAACCCTATGTATAAATCATTTATGTATATAGTAAACAGCAGAGGTCCCAAGACAGAACCCTGGGGTACACCACTTACAACATTCTCCCAATCAGATTTAACTCCATTTACCCTAAAAAAAATTTTTTTAAAATAACTCCCGTATATGCTGACATATAAGTCAACATTTGAAGCCTAAAAATCTCTCTCCAAATCTAGGGGTTGACTTGTCTGCTGAATATAAAATGTGAATCTTTACCACCGAGAGATGAATAAGTGAAACGCCTGGCCTAACACTTGCATAACTCTCGCAGTCCATTACAATTATATCCTACTGAAACTCATGTTTGGTAAGTCTATTTAACATATTTACCATATGTATTACCATATAATATCACAATGGTTAACACATACTACATTACAGTAATAGGAAACCTAGCCATGCTAACTCGCCACTGACAACAGCTGATCAGTGTACCAGTGGTGCCAACAACACCAAGCGACTAGTTGTTGAGCTATGGGTTCGTGAGGAAAACTGAAAGTGATATTACCATTATAATTACCAGTATTTCTGTAATAAGTTTTTCATACAATTGTGTGTCTAATACATAACTCGTGCTTATTTGTACAGTGGCATCTCGATTAACGAGCGGCGCTATTTACGAGCGAGCCACTCGCAGCAAATTTGTCTCTATTGATGAGCTTCACCTCCATTAACGAGCAAAACCACATGGTGCTTCCTAGCGTCTCACGGGTTCTCGCAAATTCTCGGACGCCTCCGACGCCAGTCTTGTTGTTGTATCGTGCACAACAAGCATCCCTCTGCATTTATTTGCGTTTTTTTTTTTTTTTGTGTGTGTGTGGTTTTGTGACTACAATTTGTAATGCACAATGTCGCCAAAGAAGCTACTTTCTAAAGATAGTGTTGTCAAGAGGAAGAAAGACACAATTACTGTGGATTTGAAGAAGGATTTTATAGCAAAGCATGAGTGTGGTGTCTGTGTGACTGATCTCACAAGGGAGTATGGCAGGTCCTCATCAACCATTTGCACCACTAGTAAGGGAATGAGGAGGTAAGGGAGGATGCTGCCTCTTCCAGTGAGATTAAGGAAGTGTTGGGAATGGTTGAAAAGGTGAACGCATTCTTGGAAAAGCTGCCCTGATAAAGCAGGGACAACCCGGTGTGTGAACATGTTTAATGACAATTTGTTGTCTCGTTTTAGGAACATCCTAAAACAAAGACAAGAGCAATTGTCAATAGATACTTTCTTTGCAAAAGTAGAGAAAAGAAGAGCCAGTGATAGTGAACCACAACCCGGTCCCAGTGGAGTGAAATTCCCAAGAAGAGAGAGCCCGCCTGACTCAGAGGTGGATTCTCCTTCCACACCATAACCCCTCTCCTCCTTCCCATCATCTCCCTCAAGCCAGCAACGACTCTTCATAAGGTAAACATGAAAACAGTACAACAAAACATTTATAATTACATGTGCAGTATTATATTTACATAAAATAATGTCATACAAGTATGGATGTTTTTGGGAGTGGAACGGATTAAATTTATTTCCTTTATTTTAAATGGGGAAATTTGTTTCTTAAGACGAGTTTTTCACATAACGAGCTCGGTGCCAGAACAGATTAAACTCGTTAATAGAGGTGCCACTGTATAGCATACGAGTAATACCAACAAAAGAAACTTGGGCAATAGTTTAGCAGAGGCAAATGTTGACATTGCTGCTAAAAGAACTAATTGAAGCACTTTAACCTTATGCTGTAAATATTCATTAAGCTACAATATATTAATAAGAATCTATAGTTTTCTTCTTTCCATACAGTAGGGCAGGGGTAGTGGTGCCGCCTTATTTTGGGGGATTATTGTATCCAGGAAATATAGGCCTAAATCTGAAATACACCTCAAAATTTTGGGGGTCGATCAGATCGACTTGTACACTGTCATATAAGGTAAGCTTTAATCCATCTCGGGATAACCCATCCACCCTCCCAATACAATGCGCCTCTAACTTTTAGTGGAGTCGAATTAATACAATATCAAAGGCTTTAAGTCACGATATAAAATGTAGCAATCCTTCTTGCTAACAATGGCTTGAAAGAAACATTTAATAAAAAATCCCATGGTAACTGAGCAAGAGCCAGAGATAGTGGCAGCAACTACCATTCACAGTTTCAAAAGTACGACAATACAGTACTGGAAAGCCGGGAAGTAAAATTGCACCAGCACGCGCACCTATTTTTCAGTCTGTGCCCCTGATGACCATAACCATCTCATATTTGGCAACAGATCAAGACACAAATAATTATAAATAACTACAATTCCTGTAGTGAGAAAAAATGCCTGGGAAATAGATTATGCTCACAATTTACAAGATGCTAAAAGGAATAGATGAAATGGATAGAGAAAATCTTTTAATTGAGAGAAAGCTAAACAAGGGCATCACATGTAGGACAAAATTTCAACAACATGTTAGAAAATACTCATATTCAGTGTCGCAATCCATGTATTATATTGAATTAACAATGTCAGAACATATAAAAACATCAAGAACAATAGAAGACCTGGGGCTAGATCTCACTCCTTGTAGACACAGCCAGGTATGAATATCATTGATGAGTGTACAAATCTACTTTACACAGTATATATAATATAATATATATTATATAACATAATATAATATTACACACACACACAATTATATATATATATATACTGTATATTCATATTCTAAAAGTGGCAAAATAACTTATAATATATTATTCTAGCAGGTGTTTTACTGAGTGGAACACAGTGGACTTTGAGAGGTCTCTAGAATGCATACTATTTTTCCCATATACAGTAACCTTAAGTTTGCGACTTGTAATTCACATATGCTAAGGATCCCTCAGAAATTTCTCATGCATAGCAAGGGGTCCATTATATTTCTGAGAAATCATACATTTCATACTTTATTTCAATTAAATGCATCAAACTATGGCATATATCTAGATAATATTTAAAAAATAACAGTAGAAAGATGGCTTTAAAAACAAATAAAAATAAATCCTTGGAATACATGTATATGTGATACTAGTGGCAACTTTTGTCATCATGGCACATGTAAAAGAAGTCTAGAGTAGTTATTATAATTCACTGTTATGAGAGCACTTGCAAACTTACCCTCTTAAAATAGATAAATATTTTAAATGAATTTTAAAAACACTAATCAGAAAGCAAAACTGCTCTAGTTAATAGGAACCTTCCTTTTGTCATCATGCACAAATTATAAATTTTTTAAAGCAATACAAAAAAGCAATCTCAAAACATGAACGGCAACCACAAAACAAAATACATTTTCAATGTAAAACTTACGTGGCATGTTAGGGAGACCAAATGGGGGTGGTAACATTGTTGGTGGTGGTAGACCTGGGGCATTGGGTGGCAAGGGTGGTGGGCCATCTCTATTAACGTCTTGATTCTTTTCAACAGGTGGAGGTGGCATAGGAGGTAACGGTGCTACAATATCTTGGCTACGTGTGTTTGAGGGGTGACCAGGCGGTACTCCAATAGGCACAAAACCTGGTGGTGGTCCAGGGGGCCCAGGAGGCGCTCCTTCCAAACCATAGCGCCCTAAAAGATATAATTTACAAATAAAAAAGCAAGCTGACAATAGTTGAAGGATTTCGATGATGTTCGTGACTGCTGGAAAATATATTTCAGAATTATATTGATTAATTAAATTATTCATAAGCAGTGATACAAAGTTGATTAAATAATCCCGCAAAATTCAGAAAATTTCAATAAGTGCAAATGCCATATTGACATATTTCAGAAAAAATATGGACATGATGGAAAATATGATTGTTAAAATTATTGTATTAAGATATATATAAAGTACTAAATTTTATCTAACTTTAAGTTCTTGATGGAACTAGGCATTATAGATGCTGTACAGGTAAAATGAGGAAGCATAGGTAAATAGAAGGGAAGAAGATTTAAGGTGAAAAACGAGGAAAAGGAGCTGGCGTGAGACTCGAACTGATTAAAAAATCTGCCAAGGCAAAATATATTCCCACGGAAATTTTGCGGCATGTAATTGCTTTAGTATTTGAGTTCAACTGGATATTAATAACGTATGGGTTAAAAATTGGGATTTGTTTTATAGAAAATATGGGCTTGATAAAATTAAACAAGCATAAAAGGAAAGATGGATTAAGAATGGCTTCCATGCACAGTTAAAAGTCAACTGGACTAACCTTTCCTTCCTACACAATGGGAGATAACAGAAAGAATTCAATATTATGAAGGTTTATGAAATTTGAGTTTGTGGGCTTTGGTGAAGAGTGAATAAGTGAATTCTTTCATTATGATTTAAAAAAAGACAAGAAAAGGAAGTCGTGAATTATGATCAGATATTTAAAAATAATATGAAAGTACAGTGTAAGACAGTGCCAAAATAAAATAAAAATCACATATTTCATGCATATGATTCAAGAGGTAAAATGTAGTCACATAAAATAAACTATAACAAATTTTGAATTGAATATAATTCTAACCATTATATATAATATACAGCATAAAATTAAGAAAAGAAATCATTATAATTTATAAGTAATAAAATAAAATTTGACTTGCACTGACCTCTGAGCCAATCAGGAACAGTTTCTTCATCAATCATGCCACCTTCCTCCAGATTGTCCAAGTCAATGCTGCTCATGGTGATTAACTTATGGAATGGGATGTACGAGCAGCCGACCTCCACTTCCCAGTAGTCCTTGAACTCCTTACCTTTGACGCCTTTGCCAGGGGCCCAAGCTAGTGTTATAGCTTTGTTCTGGAGAAATTAAAACATGCTCATTAAATACAACAGCCTAACCCTTTGAAGACAGCATATGAGAAACATAACTTACCCCAACTCCTGAGTTTTCCATATGTATGTTATTCAAAAATATATAATAGGCCCTTACATTGCACGAGAGGTGTCCTGGGAAAACTGTAAAAGATCCTACTACACGAAGTTCATGTTATATGGGAAAAATATGATGCGTTCCCGAGACCTCCCAAAGTCACACACATTTCCACTCTACTGTATTTTCAATTATATATGTAACTGAACATTATTTTCAAGCCACTGTACTCTTGCCACTTCCTAGCCACACACATATATATATATATAGTGTATCTGCTGTATAAAGTAGAAATGTACACTCATAAATAAAGATGCAAGTAAACATTACCTTTAATTTCTTCTTGGCATCTTGGGATGCAGGAGTGGCAGATATTTGGGAGGGTCCATGATGTAAGAATCCACAAAGTGTACAAAACCAAAGAAAACCCAATTTGGGTGGTATCTGTTTTGCAAGAATATTGCGTAGTCCAAGAAGTGTTCAAAATGCCAGAAAGACATGCAGTAGATATTTTTACTTTTGACAAATTACATCATGCTGCACAAAGGTCTACTCAAAACTTGCATTTTTCAATACAAATTTGCCACCTTACATCTCCTTACTAATTATTGTGCTTGTGAGGAATAATTCATAAATATATTAGAGTACAACTTCACATTTCTCTACAAGTAGTAATTTTTGGCTTTGTGGAAGAATTTAGTCACTGCTTCCATTGTTATCATTATTGAAGGACTTCACCAATTAGGACTTTTTCCCAGTTATGTTTTACTAAAAATATTTGTACTGTAATATAACATTTAATTTCAAGTTTAATTTTTTTAGAACTATTAAGATCCAAAAAAATCAAATTTTGACATTTCTCTATTTAAAAAAAAAGGTCCCCTAGGCAATAATGTTGGAAAAAGATGTAAATTTAGTGAATGAAATAAGCAATTAGAATAAGAAAAATTTTTATAAATGCAGATGATAGTTTTTTTAACAGAGATAAAGATTTACGAAGGGAAACTGAAAATTTTACGAATGCTTGAGTTTATTAAAAGTAAATATGAACAAAAATATATTTCTAGCAGTGGAGAGAAGGCAAATGTGTCTGTGAAATTAGAGAGTGAAAAAGTGCTAGAAGTATTTTATCTTCGAGTTAAGAAAGGAAAATAGCCTGTGCAATGAAAATATGGTTAGAAAAACTAGGTAAGAATAAATGCAGCCATAGTGCTTATGGAAGAGTGGCAGTACCTACCCTAATGCAGGAATGCAAGATAATGTTGTAGCATAAATATTAGAGTCAAGAGTGAAAATATCATTCAAAGATGTGCAGTGAAAAGTCAATAAATCACAATATTGAGGAAAATGCACTGAGATTCAAGTTCAAGTATGTTTATTGAGATAAGCAATAAATACATCTCAAAGGGATAGAGTAGCTTAGGCTATTTCTACCCCCCCCTGTGCACTGAGATGATTTACTTATGCTGAATGAATGAATGATGATAGAGATGCAAAGGGGAAAATAGTAGACATGGTGAGTGAATCAGTAGGAACTGAGTACAAATACAGCTTTAGATATGAAAGGACAAGGACATGTTGCAGCAGTTTGTGAGAAGTTAATATGTTTCTCCTAATTATATATGATATTCACAAAGTAGTGTAGTGCTACCGTGGATATTTGTTAGAGAGTAATGGTGCCTATTTCTCAGAAAGCCTATATAATATACTGTTTACATGGAAGTAAATGTATGACTGCCTTTTATTCTGGTGAAATCTGTGGCACACACTGAATTCCTCGGTATTTTCCCACAAAAATAAAATGTAAAAAGACAGCATAATATAAAAGTTTAACACTCACCACTCATGTAGATACTGCTGGCTTGACGAACTTGAGAAGAAGTTTTAATCATGCATATGATGAACTGGCTCACCTGGTGTATGCGATTCATGGCAGATGATGACTTACCTGCTCTAAGTCTCATTTCTGTACATTACCACTGATATTTTCTCAAGGGTATTCAATGTAGTAAAACTTTATAAATGTAGCAATGGCACCAAGAAAACATTTAAAAATGTGATACTTAACACAAGATAACTGACATGAATCACAAGATGTGTGTGTTGTTTTGGGAGATCCCAGGCAAAGAGGCGGCAGGATGAAACACAACCAACAATCATACAATCAACTTTCGTGAGCTGAACTTGAAGATTAATAAAGTATTTTAATAATGCTTTATAATAACAATAACGTGGAGGGGTGATGGGGTATGAACTTACTATTTATGCCCGAGGGATCGAGCACTTCACTCTTGGACCCCACCTTTCCAACTGTCGGTGTGCTGACTACTAACCTATTTTTCCTCTATCCAATCTACTACATATTAAATATATATCCCATCCCATCTCTCTCTTTCTCTCTCATGTTAAGCAAGCCATGAGATGAGGGTAAAGGATGTTTCTTCAATGTTAGATTTGATATTCACCAGGAAAGAAAAAGTTAATTTAACATTCACTACCTTCCTCCTTTGTGTAAGAGTGACCATGTCCTCTTGGAAATAAAATATGCAATGTTTTATAATCAAAAAGAGAATGAGGAAAATGAAAAAATGGGAAAAACTTGATTTTAGGAGAGAACACTATAGGGAACTTAGACAATTTTTTTTTATTTTTACAAAAACCGAGATGCAGAACTAGAAAACAGCATTGGTTCAACAGAAATTGCGAGAGGGCCAGAGAACAAGATAAAAAAAACACAAGCGTTGAATGTAATGAAACGCCATTTTCTGAGTGAGACCCCGGAGGCTCCCCGGAGCTATCCAGGCTGATATGCTAATATCAGACTTTGGCATCAGTCATGTGTAAGGAGTTCTGTGGGGCTATCGGGGACCACGAGCCAGAACCTGGCCCCCCTCAGAAGAGGCACGAGTAGCAATGGCCTATAGAGACCCCCATGTGGTTGGAAACATTCTATGTCTGCCATCGACCGGGTCAGGCACCCAGAAAGGTAAGTGTCCAAAACAAACCCCTATTCTGGTGAAAATTGTAACGAAAAGCCAAACAAGTAAATAGAATTCCCCAAACAGAAACGAGCAAACGAGTATGACGTCACACGTCACTGTGCAAGTGTCTGCGCAGTTCCCCCCTCCCCGGTAGGGAAAAGGGGAAGCCCCAGACCCCTGAGCCAGCAATCCACCTCTCAGTTCTGAGGCTGGACGTCAAAACACACGAAAAACCGCCGACCGGGGGAAGGGAGGGTGGCTGGGGAGCCTCACCCAGAAAATGGCATTTCATTACATTTAACACTGGTTTTCTGGGGGAGAGCCCCATCGGCTCCCCGGAGCTACCTACCCAAAGGCAAAAACAAGAGGGACCAAACCCGAGAGGCAGAAGACGCACACACCCCAACGCGAAGCGAAGACAAAAACTGCAACTATCAACCCAAGGCCACACAGGCCCAACAAGGCTCAGGAACATCAACGAAGGAATGCAGAGCCAACCAACGAACAACTTGGGCACGGGGACAGGCAGGACAGGCAGGACCGAACCACCCTGCGGACGACCTCAGAGAACCATACCTTGGAACAGGGAAGAAGGGAACCCGGAACAACCCAAAGCATGACCCGAGTCACGGCAGCCGTGGCACTCCAAGCACGGCGAAATGCCCAAACCGAACACAACACAAGATGCACCCCTGGCCAGACTAACCAATCATCAAAGAGCCCAAGGACCCCTCCGGAAAGCAGCCGTTCCAGTCTTTGCCAGAAAAGAAGGAGACGGCTGCAAGTGAACAAACCTATCAGAAGAATCAAAAGAGCCGAAACGCAGACACCGGAGGAGGGGCATGAAGCACTCCGACCCGACCCCCAGAGACCAACGCCAACAAGAAAAGAGCCTCAGAAAACAACTCAGAGCCGAAGGGGGCACAACAAACCGAGGAGAAGAGAAAAGAGCACACAATCCAAGAACCAGGACGGCTCAAGTGGTGCAAGAGCAGACTGGAGGAGAACAACGCCAGAGACAGCTCGTGAAGTGGTGCAGAGGCAATTCCAAAACTGAAGCAACCTGGAGCGGCTCTGCCAGCGTCGCACAAGACGAGGCGCCAGTATGTGGCAAGATGACAGCCCTAAACCTCCACAAGAGAAGGACCAGACCACGTCAAGAAAACATAGCAAACCGACGAAGGGACAAAGAAAAAGGAAGGATCCCCAAAGAAAACCCCACACAGCCGCTAAGACGAAGCATGCAGGTGGGACACCATCAACGAAGCCACCTGACCACCAACAGATGGTGAGATACTCAAGGCAAAACCGAACCAGCCCCGCCATGGACTGATCAAGCATAGGAAGAGGCGGAGCCGCTGGAAAACCTTGGGTGCGACTACCGAGCAAGCAGAGCCGGAACCCAAGCCGGCAAGGAATGAGAAGGAACGTCTGCCATACAGAAAACTTCCCAATGCTAGTGAGCTCGCCAGGAGATCGGAGACCCAGTGGTTCCGATATGAGACTAGTGAGAAGTGATACCGCGAGATCCGGAAAATGCCTACTGGCAGGGTAAGCCAGGGAAACCAGAAACCCAAATCTGGCAAGCCGGGAAAGAACCACACATAGGGGCAGTCCAAAAGCAGGGAACTGAATATGGACAAAGTCCAACCTAGCAGTAGGAGAGCCAAGAAGCAAATACTAAACCACACAACAATGTGTAATAAGAGGGGCGAGGTAGCATTAGAACTATTACATCCTGTGACACTTAGGTATCACAATACAAACAAGTGTAAACAAACTTGTTCAGGGCTTCTCGCAAGCGTCAAGCCCTGATGAGTAGCCTACACGCAAAACAACCCAACTACCCCTCACATATTACCCTGCAGGTCAAATGACCTGAATTGGATACAGGATAACAAACCATATGGAATAGCCCCAGCACCAGCAGCTCGGGACAAGAGCTTAGAAGGAAGATGAGGAACGAGGAAGACAGGCAGCAATGGGAACGAAAGGGACAGGACCAACAACACACAAGAGGCCATGTCGATGTCAAGCGATTGACAGTCGAGAAGCGGGACTGAAGAGCCAAAGCTCAACCCCCTCCCTCGCAAGCACAACTAGGTAAGGACAACGAGGTGAGTACAGAGAATCGAATGTATATGGAAGGGCTAAGCCAGGCACTGCAAGACAGTCAAGGAATAAGTGACCAAAATAAGACCACGAAAGAAGTGGCCGTGCCCTACCGTGTAACACGTAACAGTGTGTTAGGTGAGTGCATGTATCATGCACCCCACACCGATCCAGTGGGCAGCAGCAGAAAGGGCCACAGAGGCACACAAGAGGCTTAGGGACTGAACCCTACAATTCACCGAGCCAAGCAAGTTACAATCTTAATAAGCTAGTTTCAAAATTCAGTGTAAGTCGCCACAGACGAACAAAGAAGGTCACAGGAAGAAACACACGAGGGGCCAAACAAAACGCCACAACCAACCCCCGACATGCACCCTAAAACCACGAAACAGCGTCTGGCTGAAAGAGACGCCCGACCGCATAAACTCACCTGCAGAGCGTAGGCACAAACGTATCACGACACATCGTAGCCGAGAAGATTCTGGGAGCACCGCCAGTGGAATAAGGCCAGAGCCGCACATGCAGGAGAAGAGTAGGGTAGAGGTGAATGCGGCGCCCCCACACCCGTATGCAGAGAAAACGAGGCGTCCTCCCGATATTAGCAATCCAGAACACCCCCAGTATCTACGGGGCGTGGACTGGAGATGAGAGAAGAGACAGAGGGGCGAAGCACCAGAGAAAAAGGACACGGAACACCAGCACTTGTGCACACCATCCATAACAAAAACTCCCACGGCGCACGCGCAAGACACATGAGGTCCGAACCGCAGAACCCCGCCCCAGCGGGGAGGGCGCCAACTAGGAGTATTGAAAGAATAGTAGCAGTACCTAGACAGGGCAAGGAGAGAAGATACAATGACAAAAAAAACGAGACAGTATCGAAAACCAAGAAGCACGGAAGAGGACCAATGAGTCCAAAAAAGAACTGGCTGCAAGCTTCACCGAAAGACGACACACGTTCCAATAATGCGGGAAGAATCAAAGACCTTCCCGAACCCTCGAGATCGTACAGAAGCAAACACAAAATCACAGAGGATCATAAAGGCACAGTCCCACTTGAGACCAAAAGTCATGCAGATCCCCGATACGAGGGGAACATGACCCCAACATGTTGGAGAAGTTCCGTCCCAGAGAAAAGGGGGTAGAAACGGAGAAGAGTACCAACCGATACAACGGAGCCAAGCGAACCCGAAGGGACAAGGATTAGAACCCGGAGGGGGGCCGACACCCAACAACTCGTATGCAGAAGGGGGAAGGAAAACCCCCACTCCCCGTAACCGCAAGCCCCGCTCAGAGGGTAGAAAGCCCCGGCGGGGTACAACAGGGCCCGAGGGCCCCCCCCAAGTCAGCCCCTTTACAATCCCGGGAACCTCCTCAGCAGGCCCCGGGGCCCAGCCGTCCCCCAAAGCCCCAGCCTGACAAGAAAAAGCCGGGGCAGCCGGAAAATTACAAATGAAGGGAGCCCACTGGCAGACTCTTACAACACGCCTGGAGGAACAGGCTCAAATGCCTCCGTCACTACCCCGGAAGGGGAATTCCCAGAAATCTGCCCGAGTCTTAAGACCATTGAAGCCCCGCCCCAACCCCGAACCCACAGACGGTGACGATCCGGATGCAGAGAGGGAGGGAACCAGGCTACACCACAACAGGGAAAAAGACAAGGGGCGCAGACGGAAACAAAACCGAAGCAGCCAACACCCCCAAGTCCCATCACAACAACCAAAATGGGGCAGCCTCGGGGCTTCCGGGGAGCAAACAACCTAGCGCATTGCAACCACCTGAACTCAACGTGCAACGCCCATGCTGCCTACACCCGCACAGTCAGCGTAAGATGGGTAACCAAGTCACAAACAAGCAACAAAACTCGCAGGACTCCTGGTTGAAGGTGCCACCGACCCGACAGGCAGCAGACGGAGGCAAAAACAGTGAGTCACCCTGAGACAAGGGAACAGAGCAACCCTCGAACTCACACAAAGCGAGGGGAGGGGGGACTCGGGTCACATCCATCGGACCCTCGCGCCTCCGTGGGGATTCCCAGGGCCCTGAGACAGAACTCGCGCTCAGGGTAGCTCAAGCAGGTACTGCTAACCGGCGCCCAAGTCTACTAAACAACATTCTAAGAACTGAACCCCCGGGACGTGTACACTCACGGGGCCCTAGCAGGGGGCACCACCAGAAGAAGGGAGAGTACTCAGTACACGGGGGGCAAGAACCAAGGCAGACCCCTCCACCAGACAGACAAACAAAAAAAAAAAAAAAAACGCAAGAGGGCAGTTGAGAAAGGGGGATATTAGACAAATGTAAAAAAGAACCAGACCTATTCTATAAATTCATTAAAAGTAAACTGCAGGTAAAGGATAACATTCAGAGGTTGAAAATGGGGACTAGATCCTGGAAATGAAAAGGACATGTGTGAAACACTAAATGAACCGTTCCAAGGTGTGTTTGTACAAAATTAAATTTTCAGGCAACCAGACAATACAAATTTTAGAGAATAACAAAATACTGTACATAGAAGTGTCTTGAAACAAAGAAAATATGCTCAAGGAGCTAAGTAGGAACACAGCAGTTGTCGCCAAGATGGAGTTTCACCTTGGGTAGTGAAGGAATGCACACCTGAGTTCAGCATTCCATTTCAATTTATTTTTCAGTCATCTTTGTGTACATGAGTCATATGGAAAAGCTAACAATGTTCCAATCTACAAAAATGGTAGCACCCTCTTAATTATAGACCTGTATCACTGATAAGCATAGTAGTCAAAACATTAGAAATAATTAAAACCAAATGGGTACAGAAACTGGAGAGAATTGATATAATGAGAGACAAACAATATGGTTTTCGATAAGGAAGATCCCATGTAAGAAATCTACTTAGTTTCTATGATAGAGCAACATAGCTTTTACAGGAGACATGATTGAGTTGACTGCATTTATCTGGACCTAAAAAGAGGCTTTGATAAGTCTCACACATAAGAGGTTATTCTGGAAATTGGATCATACTGGAAGAGTGACAAGAAGACTTCTGACATGAACGAAATATTTTCTTACAGAAAAATGTGGGTAGCAATCAAGAGGCACTGTATCAGCCTGAAGAAATGTTACTAGTGGAGTACCATAGGGTTCAGTTCTTGCAACAGTAATGTTCACTATCTATATAAGCAATCTACCAAAAGGAATACAGAATTATATGAACTTGTTTGCTAATGACGCTAAGCTACTAAGGAAGATAAACTTCAAGACAACTGTTATGCCCCGCAAGAAGACCTTGTCAAAATAAGTGTATGAAGCAGCACTTAACAAATGAAATTTAACGTGAATACCACATTCTGCTTAGATTGGTCAGAATACCAGAGCCTTTAACAATGAAGAGATGTTGGCAGTCTTATTATGAAGTATAAGGCCAAAGTTCTAAAGGTTCCTCAACTGGCCCAACTTTTGTGAACCAAAAGAACATGCAACCACGATGCAAGACACTTGTCTATCAATATAGTCATGATGGCAATGCCATTCTTAAATACACCATCGGCTATTATTTCTTCCTAGGCATTCACATTTGGAACATGTTTTTTCAACATTTTAGAAACTCATGAAATTAGGTCAACTGGTCATATGACCTAAGGTTAAAGGTGGAATGCAGCTTAAATCTCAACCTAACATATTTGTAACATTATATACAGTGTGTTCTTAATGAAAAGTAATAAAAAAGTTATTAAATGAGCTGCGAAGGATAATGGCTGTTAGATTACAGTTTCATTTAGGAATATCAGCACCATTCCTAATGAACCCTAATCTGTTTAAAAGAAAAGAGGGAGGAAGCTGGATGGCAAGAGGAAGAAATAAGGGGACATGGAGGAAGGGTGGGAATAGAAGGGAAGGGATGGAGGGTAGGGATGAGAGAAAAGTAAAAAGAGAGTGGAGGAGGGGGAAGAGGAGCGACGAGAGGGAAGGGGGGGGGGGTGAAATAAGGCGAGGTGAAGTCGTTTATTGTGACAGGTCCTTGAGGGGTGAACTGAGTCTCAACTGCTGATAAGATACTGATTTCATATGGTTTATTAATTTATAAAATAATTATCCTAGTTACTTACATGCATTTTGTGGTTCTTTAGCTTGGACAATGCTCTTGCAGCATCCTGACGTCTATTCATACATATGAAAGCACAACCACGTGGGGGAATCAAATCGATAGACACAATGTCCCCATACTCTCCAAAAGTATCTGATAGCTCTTCTTGGTGAACAAGCTGTGTAAAGAAAAAATTTATTTAAAACAATACTTCTTAAACTTTAATCTAGTCATTTCATATACAGTATATATCAATATACTAAACATTAATACTTTCTACTTATTTTCCTCTAGTACAAATAGTAAGGCAGCTGTCAGTTCTTTTATGGAATTATCAGGTATTTATCAGAAAGCCAACATAATCAGTTACTTTCAATGTAGCACAAGCCTGGTGAATAACCAGTTTATTGTTTACATGCAGGTCCATATCACATTTGATTCTCATTTTACTGATGAAGCTCAACCCCAGCCAGTATAAATGAGCAAATTCATACGTTCCTTCACTACACACAAGCTATCCATTTGTCACTTATTTCTTCCATATTTACATAATTTATGTTCAAAAAATATGTTAATTTATGCATGGCATCAAACATTCCCCATTGTCTCTATGCCTTTAGTATTGGCATTAGCAGTATCTCACAGACATATTCCCTCTGAATAACATGTGCATATTATTTACTATTATGCAAATCTTTCATATTCAGGGAATTGAGGACTTTTACCATACAAGAACCTTATCTTAATCTTAAAACTAATTTCAACCACTTTGATGGACACATTTCCAGAATTTCTATCACCAACTCTTAAACAATTCTAGCAGCAAATAGCTTTACTTAGTTACATTAATTTAATGAAAAATATAAAACCCCTTAGCATACTATAGTGCTTGATAGTGCAACTTGAAGTAAACAAATTCTTAATCATTTTTTATACATTATAGGGATTTAGCCACTTACCTTTGATAAGTGGCCAACCCAGAGTGTAGTGGAACAGACGCTTAGATATTCTTTTTTAACTGGTGGCAGCCCTCTCTTTTTCCGCTCCTTTTCTTTCTCGCGCTCCTTTTCTCTCACACGTTCTTTTTCTGGGTCCAGTTTTTCCTTTTCCCGCTCCTTCTCGCGTTCTCTGTCACGATCTCTATCTCTGTCACGATCTCTTCTATCACGTTCTCTATCTCTGTCTCTATCTCTTGATCGTGATCTGTTTGAAATAAAAAAAAAATACATATAGCTTTATAATATGACTAATACACATAAATTATACTATAAATAAAAAAATAAAATTAATAAGTAAACAACAAAAGATACGAGGAGGGTCAGTTGCACAAGCAGTAAGCAGGCAAAAATGTTGGAAAAATGCAACCCAGAAAATTATTAGAGTACAAAAATAAAGTTAACAAAGAACAAACAATTTTAATCAAATACAATTTCAAGCACATAGTTGAGTAAAGCCAATTCCATTCATAGAGGGGGGGGGAAGGTATTTTCATGCATAGCATCTGCTTACAAATCTATGATAAAAACCTAAGAAGTTGTGATTGAAATGTTCCAAGACTGAAAATATATTGCAAATGTTTAAGGGTTGTAACATACATGATCAGAAAGTGTCTCAGGTATCTGTCTGTCTCAGCACTCAACCGCAAAGCACGTTATCTAATATATTTTTAGTCGTGTGTAGTAGATGAGAGAAGTGCTGCCATCCCTGTGGCATGTGGTACACTACCCACTGTGGGCCTTGTTTACAATAAATATTTCACAAGGTCAAACAGGTAACCATGATTTTTTTTTTTAATATTTGGCAAATCTGAGAAGCAATAAAAAGTAATAATCAACTGTCTTATTTGATTAAACAAATTCTAAGTGTCCAGTTCTCATTATAAAATATGTCATGCACCACAGGAAAGGATGCACACTACTATTTACAATGCAGCGTTAGAAGACAATGATGTGACGAGTTTCACGAGTATAGATAATGACTCGCTCATGTTGTTTGTGTAATTAAAGCTATGAAAGCAATTAATAAAAATTGTATTGGCTGTATCTATTACAGTAGAAGAATCTCTTGACTTAGGAACATAAACCACATTTCTGAAAGGTTGCACACAAAGCTTAATTATTTAAAATTGACTTCAGCTACAACATAAATTGGAGAGCAAAATGTAATATGAAGCAGGATTCCATTCCCAGTATGAACACTGTGATCTTTGGAAGGAAAATAGTATGTGTGTAATTTTGTTGACAATGTGTGTGCCAAAGCATATTCTCGAGTTTGCACTAACGGAAACAACAATATTTGGTATAAAACAGTAAAAAGTGGCAAACTTCCCATAAAACTTCAGGAGCTGTAAAAGCATGGTACAAATCTGATCAATCAAGCAGGAGCCCACTGAACTGAATACCAAACCCTGCTCTCTTCCCACATTGACTTCCATTATATAACTGAAAATTCATCCCTATGAACAAAAGTTTGCCCCCAAAACTCATTTCATAAAAAATATAAAAAGTAGTACTAATAAATCAATATTTTCAAAGTCACTTGAGGGGAAAATTCCTCAGACTTTTAGGACATGCATATCTCAATAAAAACAATAGCATTTTTAATAATATAAATCCCTACCCTTAAATTAAATAAATAAATACCCACATATAACTCACTGGAAAAAGACCTACTGAGCTGAAAGTGGCAGAAGATGGGAAGAATGATCCTGAAACATAATGCATGCAAGTTACACTAATGGAATATGGAAGCAAACCAAGGAAGGGGCAGTTGAAAAATCAGACTCAAGCTTGGAGAGGAATATCCCCCCCCCCCCAAGCTTAAAAAAAAAAGCAAAGGGAACCAGAGACCAGGAAATGTTGACAGGGTACCCAGGGAAGGGCTTGGAAGGAGAGGGCTACTTTCCAGCCCCTAAAGACCACAATGAAGTTCCCAGGGCAAAGTAGTTGCAAGCCTGCCACATGAACAGATAGGAAGGAAGGCATCTGCAAACGTTAAAAGGATCCATGCCAATTAAACATCACCCCCCCCCCACCCAAGAGAAAGACAGCTATGGATCCCCAGCAGGAAAAAATGGCTAACAGTCTCTGGTGTCAATGTGGAAGGGGCAATCCCTGAAAAAGGTAGAGCTACACCCCCACAACTACATGCAACCTCTAAATGCAGGGCTGAAAACCTCATACATGTTGAAGGCCAGAGCAAGGGGGTTGTAAATGAGGTTCATACAACAACCAGATGGGCAATGGAAGTAACAGTAAACATTGCACAAGTAAAAACATGAGCCCCTTCAACCCCAAAATCCCAGATCATCAAGATGAGCCAATTCCAGGGCAACCACTCAAACATCAAGCGCCACCACCTGTGAAGCCTCATCACTACAAAATAAAACGCAGAAGATGGAGGCTTTAATTAAAAAGAGAGGACCAGTCAGAACCCAATCATCCCAGGCCTCTGGGTAGAGGATAATGCCCGCCCAATAAGCATCAAAAGGAAACTGTACAAATGACCATCAGTGTGTTGCAAAACTGACAAGTCAAACTTGTCGTCCCTCAAACTCACAAGCAGTGAGTGTGTGCTCAGAGGGTCAATCCATAATGAGCCACAAAAAGCCTTGTGGGGCTTACCAGGGTCTGAAAACAAGGAGCCAGCAGGACACCTAGACACTAGCCAAAAGAACTGACACTGAATGCAGCCTTCAGGATATATGCAGCTACAAAGGGCATTATTACCATGCTGTATGTACAAGCATGTGAAACCTAGTGCACCCCTGAATCAATAAACCCTAGAATGCCCCCCAACCTCAGAACCTTCCAAAAAAATCAATAACCTGACACTAGTTAGGGTTAGGTACCCTACTATCAAAATCCTCAGATTAGGCAAAATTGTAATTAATTGTCAATAAAGATGTTAATAATAAAATAAAGGTACCCTACACAGCAGGTCGGCCTTTATGGGATAAACAGCCATTGCGCTTTAGGAAGGGCTTCCCTAAGCACATGCAGTTCCACTTAGATAGGCTGGCTTCTATGAGACAAACACCCAAAGCATTTATGGAAGGACTGCCCTAAACATAAACTCAAAGTGAACAGTTTCCCAAGTCCAACAAGTGAAGCTTGTAAACACACATCGAAAGTAAACACTAAATCTCAGAATGATACACAAGCAAATGGACCCTCACACAACAGCTCGAAGAATGGCCAACATTTATCTACAATTACATGGGGACTCTAAAGGCTTGGGGTGACAAGGAACAGTCCACATAGGTGACTATCAAGCCAAGAACTGAATAGTGTTGACATCGAAACCAGCATATTCTGGGTGCTGCCGCCAGGCAGTTGCCAGCTGTAACTAGAAGGGTTTGAACCGATTACTGGTTGTATCATTTGTGGATTTCTTGGGATTTTGCTACTCACTTCTACTAAGTTGTTTTTTTAGGTCTTCATATTCTTTAAAGTTCCCCCTGTTCTCCCTCCCTTGCATTTCTTCCAATTCTAACTGCTTGCAATGTTTGATTATGGTATTGCTCTGCACTCCGATCAGTATGTGAACCCATCACCTAAAGTGGCTGAAATTGTGAAGCTTGGCCAAAGTATTGCTAAGCCAGACAAATGGAAATAGCCCCAAATTTGAGCAAGGCTTACAAATTGTGAGGGATTTACAATCTCTCGTGGTTAACTACAAGAACCAATACAATGGAGATATGAACTCGTAAATGTACATATTAAAGCTAGTACACATCACACCACTCTCAGCTTATTATTATTTATGATTCCTATATTTTCTATTATCAAAACTTCTGTTGACACAATAGTGTTGCAGTAAACAGGTACCTAGGAATAAAATCAACTATTTAAGTTGGATTCTGTGAAAAATCAGTTGCTGGCCTAGGGGTAAGGGGTACCTCAATAAGCCTAGGAGGATTCCTGTTTCCAACAATGGGAACCTAAATGAAACACTAACACTGTATGCTCTGGAAGTCAGCAACTGCAGACACTAGCCTCTCACAACTAAATGCATGGCTAGCTATTCAAATATCTCGCTCTGGAAGTCAGCAACTGCATGATCATGAAGGATAAAAACTTGTCATCCACACTTCCATGGACATAAACTTTCCTTATTAAGACTACTCAAGAACTCAGTCGATAGAGCCTCAACCTCACAAGCGTATGAACCACAGTTCGAGTCTCCTAGAAGCCAGGTGAATGGCATGAAAGATAATCAGGCATTATAGATATTTGGGACAAATACAACAGGTAACTCAAATGTTATAATGATCAGGAAAAAAAAAAGGAATATCTGGTCTCTCCAAGTTTGGCACAACTTTCAGTTGTAAAGACAAGCATCACGTCATCACGGCACAAATCAGAGGAGGCAAACATCTTGTACAGTCAGTCAACATTTTAAAACAAGAGCTAAAAAAACATGCAAAGCAGATTATGCAACAAAAGCATTTAAAACAAAAAATTGAGACATTAGTGAAGGATGAATATATGCAGACATGTAAAGCTCCTCAACAGCTGACCTCCTCCTGCGTGACCTAGAGGACGACCTGCGACCCCTGGAACGTGATCGTGACCTTCGATGTCTGGATCTGGACCTGGAACGCGAACGAGAGCGGGAACGTTTTCTGCGCCGTGATCGACTTCTAGATCGAGATCGACTTTGACGGCGTCTTTCAGAATCGGGATCCTCAAGGTGACTGAAATGAAAACAAATGTATGCTAGTACATTATTTTTTTTACTTAATGGAAATTGAATATTGAATAATAATCTACATATAGAATTATAAGCTGAAAAGATAATAAAAATATAACTAAATCAATATGAAAACCTGCTTTAAGACACACAACACAACTACCATGAGGAACTTTTAACCAATACTGGGCAACAAATGAAGGTCCACAAACAGCAGGAAAGGAAAAGGTAGGACTACTGGAATCAACACTGATATCAGACATTGGAGACAGAAAGGGTGAAAAGTATGCCATGTCATCTCATACTGTTGCCAAGAAGACAACCTCAATTACAACATCTAAAGACCCACAACTTGCTCATCATACAAATGGTGGTTGTCACATATGACTTGAAAATATCACAAATACCAACAGAGATGCTTAATCCATTGAGGAATGTCTGCCGATTGATCCTCTAAAAATAAATCTGTAACTGGACACCAAATTAATTAAAATGTCCAGAAACCATGGCTTAGCTGGCCACTTTTGAGCCAGAAGGATTTCCAAGCTGACATAAGTTTACAATCTATAAGTCTGAAAAAATGGGAATAAGCCAAATCAGAGGGAAGAGGTAAAAGAAAATCTCACAGACGCCAACCCAGGCAAAGCGGTTCCTCGGCGAAAGCTGCATGATTTGGGATTGGTGCGATTTTAACTGAAAGTTTCCAGTTTCCCACTGACTCAAAGAGGGCCACTTGCAGGCAACTGAGCATCTTGTAAATACCAAAGAATGAATCACCAGATGTCCCACAATTTAAATGGAAAGAATCACAGTCAACTATCCACTCCATCGAAATGGGTGGAATCAGGCAAACACATATACAATTACAAATGACACTTCATGCATGTTTACTACACAAAGCCAACCTCCAAAGAATCCAGAAGTTACAATCAAGGTCCAGGCAAAAAATGGAAGTGACCGACCTACTCGATTCAGACAATGAACCACTGGAGAGCCGCCGTCAAGAGTGAATATGAATTACGGAGCCCCGAGGAAGACAACAGCACAGTTGAGCACGGCAAACCTTAAGCCAACTTGGGAACAGTAATACGAGCCTGACGAAGAGGACGCACTCAACATTCCTCAGTTGCTTAGTTACTGCTGGTCACACATCCCCAGCAGAGATCTGAAATGGCCATAAACAGGTTGTGCATAGCACAAAAGGAGGAGGAAGAAGCCACAGAACCAAATCCCAAGAAGCCATTAAAGGACTGTCTTGACAACAGCAAAAGGGGGTTCTCCCAGTGAAAAAGACACAGTACCCACAGCCAAATTTGTCCCAGAAGATAAACCAAGCAGGGAAAATTCAGGCTGATGCCCAAGGTGCCAACTCACTCATAAATATGGATTCACTACCACAGAGCTAGGAAATTATATCTCCGTCGTTTGTTGGGAAACTGTATTTGTAGCAAATTAGTTGGACCTGTGGAGATGTGATAGGACCACAGTTGAATGAAATTATTCATTCTGAACATTCCTATGTAGAAGGAATTTTCTTGTATGCAGACCAAATTATTTCTTTAGTCATAATTATTGTTTTATTGGTGCTAACAGTAAAACATAATTTTACACATTTTGATTCAAAATACCTTCAAGAAAGTAAAATAATTTGGTGATTTTTAATATATTTTTCAGCACAGCATTCCAGTCACAATCTTGCTCAACTGTACTTTTTCAATTTTGGACTGTACTAGCGTTTATGACCAAAACATGTACTGTATGTTATATAAAGATTCTGTAAAGCCAAGGTCCATTTCACCGAGACCACACTGCATTTGCAATATGTCACCTTCATGGGAACATCAACTGTTGAATACTCATATCTAATTTACCTTTAAGTAATTTGAATGCATCCCTCAGATCCTTAATATTTCACATAACTTTTTACCTATCACATCTTTTAACTGCCTCAAAAGACCCTGAATCTATTTGCTTTGTTCTATACATGGTTCTCTCCATAGACACACTTACATATTCACAAAGGAAACTTTTAATTCTTCTATTTAGTAATCAATGCCCAACCTTGGCTTTTTAAGTTGTTAAATCTTATACCATTAACCCATTATATTTAAATACATAAACTTTCAATTCTTCTCAATTTAAATAAATTAAAATTAAAATTACTTATGATTTAAGAATTGAAACAGTTTTCATTTATCCTTAACCTTTCATTTTCATTATATAAAGGTTATGATGTGCTAAAACTGCTCAATATAAAAAAAAAACTTTTAAACCATTACTGAAGCTAATATAATTAAACTAACATTGAAATGGTCCAAATAGCAAATACCTACATTTCTTTAACATCGTCACTATCATCCGAATGTTCTCCTTCTTCTCGTGGACTCTTGGGCTTATCTGGTGGAGGGTGAACTTGAGAATAATCTAAGGCAGGTGGTGGAACAGCCATGGGAGCTGGAGGCATCCCACCCATGTAAGGTGCTGGAGGAAGGTAGCCTGGAGGTGGTTGTGATGTGTCCACAGTTAGGAATGGAAGAGATCTGCCATCATAGTCACCTGAAATATTTAGAGTATAGATGAATTTTAATACAACTTCTAAAGTACATTGAGATATGGGTAGTAAGAGTATCTCTACTTCCTTCCATATCTACATATTTATCCTAACATAGCATTATCATTACACCATTTCCAACTTCCATTGGGTATTGCAACCAAAAGTTTAAGTGACTTTAGTTAGATAACATTTTTACAACTACATGAGACAGCTTTGGCTTAAAGTTTCCTATTTAAAATGTAATATGTTTCTACAAAATATCTAATGATCATTTCTAAGATACCCACACCAGAGCACTCTCTTCACTTAATTAAACCTAAAATGATTTTGGACACTTCAACTTTTTATTATTTTCAATTTTACAAATAATACAATTTAGACATATTAACCCACTTTCACTGCTATATATGGCTATGGTTGAATGGCAAAAAATAAAAGGTTCACTATGATATGTGACTTCTGCTACACGCATTGATAAATTATTATTTTACCAACATCTCAAACATTCATCCAGACATCTGGCCTTCATAAAAGGAGTTTAAGGTTGGTAGATGCAGCTGATTAGTGACAACATGCTATAATTATTTTTAATTTTATTTAGGAGTTTTAGATAAAATAGATTTAGGGTTTTAGATAAAATATAATCACATTTTAATACATTACCTGAATTTGAGAGACCAGGAATACCTGGTCCCTTCACCTCATCTGGCACTGGTGGTACCATGACAGCTGCTGCTGCAGCAGCAGAAACTGCAGCAGCCATTCCAGAACCATCATCTTGTGCTGGCTGCTTCATGAGAATCTGCTGAATTTGCTGGATGAGACTTGGGTCCAGGTTGGTGACTGCAGCACTCATCACCTGACTGGATACGCTGGTTACTGGAACTGGGTGCTGTGCATAAAAAGCCAACTTCAGTATAATAACTTTACCAGAATTATCATCTCAATACTGATTAATGTTATAATCATTGCCATTACCACATTTCCTCTTCACACAGGAAATGGGTAAGTATTATACGAACAAATATAAAAAGTAGTTGACTTTTAGTTTATGAATCCTGCAAGCAGACTATTGTAAAATAAATAAAAAATACAAATTCCTAAGGTTCTGTGCAACAAAAATCTAAATAATATATGCTTATTATTTTACAAACATCACTAACTATGGACACATCAAAAACACCAAATACTGAACAAACAAGACCAGCTGCTAATCAGTTAAAAGGGATCAATAACTTTAATTTTGCAAGTAAAATATACATGTTGGAAGCTAGCAGCTACTGCATTACAGTGTTTGAATACATGGCTTAAGCAAAAGAGAACAAATCAAAAACATATCTAAAAGAACACAACTTCTTGCAAAAATTCCCATTGAAGAATGAGCTGGAGAAGATGTGGCAAAAAGATGAGGGGAGGGAGGGAATTATCAAGGGAAAGTACCAAGCCATTACGACTATATAGCACTTGGAAGGGGTCAGGATAAGGATTTGGGATGGAACGGGGAAAGGAATGGTGCCCAACCATTTGGACAGTCGGGGACTGAATGCCGACCTGCATGAAACGAGACCATTGCTCTACCGTCCAGCCCAAGTGGTTGGGCAAGGTGAGTGAAATTAATAGAATAGCCGAGAAAAGACTTATGGAACAGGAATGGGGAAAAAGAGTAATTAGTGATAAAGGAAAAGATGAGGAAAATAGTTAGGATAACAAACAAGTAGAAGTATGAACATATAAAACCTTCGCAGCAGCAGTTGGAGGCACAGAAGTTCAGAGATCAATTAGATCAAATGTGTTAAGAGAGATTTTAGACTAAACATGTTGTACAGTGCACCACAAAGGACATGAAGAGGGAAAAATCAAGACATATAAGTTACAAACACCAGTGGTAAGAATATGACTAGAAATGCAAGTGTGTTTGCAAGAAGGTTCTAAATACATATATATGGCTAGTGATTAAGATGCAGGGAAGATATACCTGGCTAACAAATAATTCCCATGGAGAGGAGAATATGTGAGGGGTCAAAATCAGCAGACACTACAGATGTGTACCTCCTGAAGCATCACATAACACAAACAACAGGGAAAATAGGAGATGATGAAGCAGCAAGTTGACCAGGTGTTCACCCAGAATGAAGTAGATAATGAGAAAAATAAGATAAATGGAACCACTTGGCACCAGTAACAATCATGTTATAATGTTTGAATATACATTTTAACAGGAGTAGAGCAGGAAGAATTAAAGGTGCAAAGATAGGTGATCCTACAGGAGTGCAAGAGAATTCATTCAGAAAGTCCAAGGGAGGAGGACGTAAAGGAAAATATGACAAACAAATTGTAGTACATGGTGCAAGTGCACAGACACTATATAAAACAGTGCAGTACATACCAACTGGAAAAGAAGTAGAGGTGAATAGCAAAATTAACCTATGGTTCAATTAGACAACGTAAGGAAGCCAAAAACAGAAGACTTAGAAAAAGTAGACAATCAGGTACCATGGCAACGGAGGAAGAAACATGAATGGCCAGATATGAACACACTAGGATCAGGAGAGCAGTTTGAAAATGATAATGGTAAAAACCAAATGACAGCCAAAGTTGCTATATATGAAGAAGATCAACAGTAAGGAACCAGTTTATATGAATAAGATGGAAGCATCATCACAGACAGTACACAGTACAGGGAGGTCTATGAAAATGTAAACAGAAGTCCACAGGATTTTAAAATTGAGCCAGAGTAGAGTGCAGGTATAAGATATTATGGATAGTGTGAAACATTACTGAAGATGTTGAGTTTTACCACAAGGATCCCAAAAACCTAGACAGGAGAAGATGATTAGTGGATAATGTCTTTCAAGATTGAGGAAAAAACTTTAGAAAATTCCCATCACAAAAACTGATATACAAGTTGGAAAAGCAGGCTGGAGTAAATGGAAAGATATAGGACAATTAGTGAGTGTCTGACAATGGCAAGCATAGGCTGTAGTCAAGAGAGGAAGAATCAGGATTGAGGGAAGTTGTGTGGTGGGTTCTGTAATGCTGAATACTTGGAGAGCTGCTGCTCCTGACTGATATACAGTGGGACTTCTATAACTAATACTGTATCCATTTACCAGTTTCTTGGGTTAGCTTGAACCAGAGGTGGTGGAAGCAACCATTATTCACAGTTTCAAGACCAAGCTGACAGAGTACTGAAAAGTCAGGAGGAATATATGTACTGTACTATGTATAATAGCTGGGCAGGGCTCTAAGAGTTGGATTTTGCTATCTGTAGACCTCTAAGTAAGCACCTATTAAAGATGTCTATTTAACTAACAAAACAAGGCACGATGTGAAGGATGGCTCACAATTGACAAATTAGAAAGTAATCATACCAAACCCAGTACACTGGAATTTATTGTTATACCTCTTATCGTATACTTCTTATTAGGCAATTATATGCCACCATCAATTGTTATGAAAAGGAATATGCCAAAGTATTATGTGAAAAACAAGACTTAAAAGAGCTGAAGTCACTGAAATAAAAATGTAAAAGCAAAGCATGTTGACTTATTTCAGTAATTATGAAATTACATGACCTACATGCTATTGAGTAAAGCAATTAAAGCAATTTAAATATTCTTGAGAATGTGTTCATAAATCCATTTTCAGGTACACAAATAAAATTATTTTTTGCACAAATAAATTAGATAAATTTATTAATCCACTATGATTGCAAATGCAAACACAGCATCTGAACACATGCATGGCATCTAATGATTAGTTGTTCACCATGCTGACGTCGTGAAGTGCTCAGTGAGGCACAGCACCACTTGCACTTTTCCATTTCCATCTTCCATGCAACACAGGTAAGATATACCTAATACAAAACACTTAGAGGAGCTAAGTTACAATTCACCCTGCATGTATTCAGATATTGAGCTTGCTTTAACAACCATTAAGGAATAGATTCATTGAATCATGTTTCACATGCCCATATACTAATTTGATTGTCTACCTGAAAAAAACACACACCCCCCCTTCACACCAAAACAAAAAGAAATTAGAGTGAGTTAGGTGTTAAAAAGAGGAAGGACAAACCACTAACTACCTGTTGAGTCACTAAATGTACGAGTTTGCACTCATCATCCACCTGTTGTGGCATGCTAGCTGAAGTGTTGTTCATCTGATTGTCTCCTCTTCCATCATGTCTTCCCCCACCACCTCCAGTGTTACCACCACCACCGCCGCCACCTCCCATAGCATGTATTGGGGTTCCTTGTTGAGGTTCTTGCCCAGGATGCTGCACCTTAGCTTTAGATGCCTTCTGTGCTATCTGATTGCCCACTTCCTTCTGAATGGGGTGGTTGGGATCAGCCAAATCAAACAGGGGCTGTATAACATCTTCGGCAAATACCTGATTCTTCTGCCACAAATTCAACACCCGAATAACTTTACTCTGAAAAAAAATATTAATTTTTAATTTAAAAGGCAAACATGCATATTTGCTTAAAGACAAATTAATATCCAACATTCATTTATTATCATTTCAATAATTGGTATGATATAGTGCAGGTGTATAGTGGTCCTCACAAACTTCCATATACAATACAAAGTACAAACAACCTCTTTGCATACCACCACCACTCAGCCTAATCCTTTAACATATCCTGTATGATATTCGCATTCAATCCCACTTCCTCACATGTGTGAGGAAGTGAGGATTGATTATCTTCCCATCTTTATCCTAATCATCCTCTCTTCTTACCTTCAAATACACTTGAATACACCAGTACACACCATTCTACTGCGAACAATTTGATACCATAATGAACGATGTACAACGAAAATTGAGGTGAGAAAACTGAAGAATATACACATTCAGAGTGGCCGCTCGCTCACGCGAAACGCTTAGCGCACCTTGGGGTAGGCCGGGGCGCACACGCTCAGGATGTGAAAGTGTTAAACTGTGCATTGTGAATATTTTATAAATACAGATGAGAACTAGCCAAGGTAATAAAATTTTACCCAAAAAATTCAAATAGAAATTCAATTTTCTCATAAAAAATAGTTCTTAAAAAAACAGCACTGAATGTTCATTTCTAGGTATATTCAGGAGAAACTCTCCTTTCTAGGATCACCAGTGGCTCCCTGAAGCTATGTGGCTACTATAACATCTCAGTACTTTGTCACATCAGTCATAGGAGTATTATTGGCCTACCAGCAACCAGAGCCAGAACTTGGCCCCCTTCTAAGAGACACAGGAAGCAGGGCATTGCTATGATCACTCTCACCAAGCAAGCACCCAAATAGGAAACGAAGTACAAAACTGTTTGGTTCTGAAATCAAAGCACTGAAACAGCCAACAAATACCACAAAAGCATCACTCAAAATGAAATGGTTCAAGCAAAACTGGATGCATAACTACCCCCGGCATGCACATGCACCAAGCCACCAGCTGACAGCCAAGCTGGCATCCTGTATCCCACGTTCAGTCTGTTGCTGATGGGGAATAAACTGATACACCTGGTAAGAGGTGGGTCAAGGAGGCAATGGGGCTTAACCAGAAAGAGGTGTTCCATTACATTCAATGCTGGTTTTCTGGAAAAGACCCTTGGTGGCTTACTCAAGCTAACAACAGAGAAGAGGGGAAAAAAAAAGGATTTACCAAGGAGATGAGGGGCGACTGCAGACTGATTAGATTTAGTAACTCTGTGGATGACGTGAAAAACATGCCCTGAAACCAGGAACTAAGAAAACTGGATCGACAAACAGTGCATCCACTAAATCAGAACTGGTGGTCACAATGGTTAAGACAAAATACTACCTGACAACAAATGATGCACCCCCACCAGGACAAACCAAGCATGAATTGCCAAGTGACCACTCCAGAAGCCAACATTCTCATCCTTCGCCAGAAAAGGAGACAGCTGCAGGCAAAGAAACCACCTACCAACCGGATGAAAAGAACAGAACCCACACCTCCAGATGAGAGCATTTAGTTCCCAATCCAACAACTGGATGCCAAGTACAGACAGGCATCATCCAACAGAGAAAGATCAGAACCAGGTAATAGTTGTGAAGGCAAAGGCTCGACATCCATGGCAAGAAGGAATTGAAATTCTCCAGAATAGACCTCTGCCCACAGAGTGGCAGCTGCCTGAAAAGCCTCCTGTCCGGAGATAAGCACTGATAAGACAGACTCAGCGAGCACAGAAGTCACAGGACTCTGGGTCAAAGCAGTTGTTGTTGTTAAAGATTCGCTACCTGGAACAAAGTTCCAAGTAGCACGGGCTATGGTGAGCTCGTAGTGCCTCTCACTCTGGGTCAAAGGATTCATTAACCCAATAGGTAGTAATAGGTAACTCCCCTGCGACACCACAGCTTGCAGGGGAGTTACCAGGGCCTGTAGGCAGCTAACCAAGTATGACACCCAAGCACTAGGGACATTCTCCAAAAGAACAAGCTTCAAATGTAGCCTAAAGGATAAACTTGGCTACAAAAGTTGACCACTGTGTGCCATATAAACAAGCACATGCACCCCACAAAACAAAAACAGAATGCACCCAACGAAAAGGTTTTATAGAGGAATAAAAGATTCATACACTACCCCCAGGGTGAGGCTCTGGGCCAGTGGTCTAGCTTTTCAGGGATAAACTCCCGAACACCCCACAGAGGGCAACGCTGGCCATGCAGGGATAATGCTAAATGCCTTGACCCAGGAAAAGGAGCCCTAGGCACATGTAGCCCCAAGCAGATAATGCCACCTTCACTTAACAGTGTGGCTTGAAAACATGTTTGGGAAGCAAAACTATAAATTAAGAATACACAGCAAAAAGGCCCCCCACAGGATGGCATTCTAAGGATGGCTAACATTTAAATTAAAGAAGCAGCAGAACTTGAATGACTGACAGGTTAGGGAAGGTGAGAAGTTAACCCTCCAACGTGAGCAGCATGACTTGACACAGGATACAGGATGCCAGCTTGGGGCATGTATGCTGGGATAGTTGTTTTGTACCTAATTTTGTACAAACCATTTTGTTTTGAGTACTGTATATGCCAGCGTATAAATTAACATCTGAAACCTAAAAATCTCTCCAAAACCAGGGGTTGACTTGTCTGCCGAATATAAAAGCTGAACCTTTACCTAAGGGTATCAACCTTTGATACTCTTAAAAAGGTATCAAATAATATATACATGGAATATACTTAAAAGTCAGGTCCCAAATTTGCACAGTAGAAAAACTGGAGTAAAAGATATGGAAGGAAATGAAGAATAGATCCAGTGAAGAGTAGCAGTGCCATAGGCACAATCAGAAAACACTATCTGAACATCAAGGGGTCCACAGCTGTTCAACACCCTCCCAGCAAGCATTAGAAATATTGCCAGAACAAAGGTGGATGTATTCAAGAGGCACTTAGATTAGTTCTTGAAAGAAGTGCTGGACCAACCAGGCTGTAGTGGATATGTAGGCCTGCGAACTGTTCCAAGCAACAGCCTGTTGGACCAAGATATCACAAGTTGAGCCTGGCCTCGGGCTGGGCTCAGGGAGCAGAACTCCCAGAACCCTCTCCAGGTAAGTTCCAGGTATACTGAGAGATAAACAAGTGAAACGTCCAGCTTAACGCTCATTGTACACCACTTGCATAACTCTCGCAGCCCAACAAAATGATTTCCTAATGAAACTCATGTTTGGTTATCTTGAGATGGTTTCGGGGCTTTGCGTCCCCCGCGCCCTGGTCCTCGACCAGGCCTCCTTTTTGTTACACACCCCCGGGAAGCAGCCCGTAGCAGCTGTCTAACTCCCAGGTACCTATTTACTACTAGGTAACAGGGACATCAGGGTGAAAGAAACTTTGCCCATTTGTTTCCGCCTCCACTGGGGATCGAACCCCGGAACCTCAGGACTACAAATCCGAAGTGCTGTCCACTCAGCTGTCAGGCCCCTGGTAAGTCTATTTGACATATTAACTGTAGGTATTACCATATAATATCATAATGGTTAACACATACTACATTACAGTAGTAGGAAACAGCCCTGCTAACTCGCCATTGACAACAGCTGATTGGTGTATCAGTGGCATCACCAACTCCAAGCAGCTAGTTGGTGAACTATGGATTTGTGGAGAAAACTGATATTGATATTACCATTCTAATTACCAGTATTTCTGTAACAAGTTTTTAATACCATTGTGTTTCTGCTACATAACTCATGCTTATTTGTGTAACCTATAAGTGATACCAACAAAAGAAACTTGGGCAATAGTTTAGCAGAGGCAAATGGTTGACGTTGTTGCTGAAAGAACTAATTCTAGCATCTTAACCTTATGCGGTAAATATTCATTAAGCCACAGTATATTTATGAAATACAGTATTTTTTTTCTTTCCATACAGTAGGGCAGGGAAAGTGGTGCTGCCTTATTTTGGGGGGGGGTCATCTATCTGGTGAATAAAGGCCTAAATCTAAATTACACCTAAAAATTTAGGGGTTGACCTATGAACCAGAATTACCATATACGCTGGCATATATGGTAATTCTTTTGCAGTGTCTTTTGACAGTTTCGGTGCTTTGCTTTCATGATTCAAGCAGTTGTTTTCTATTATTTTCATTTCCTTTCTGAGTGTTTCTTTGGTGAGAGTGAGTGTAACAATCCCCTGCTCCCATTGCCTCTTTGAGGGGAATCAGGTTCTGGCTCTGGTCTCCGACCGGCCAGTAAGATTCATGACTGATGTGGCCAAGTACTGTATTGGAAAGTTATATCGGCAACATAGCTTCAGGGAGCCGCTAAAGGGCTGCACCAGAAAACCTCAATAATGCATATCCTGATATAAATAACTTTACACAGTACAGTATTTGTTTTTCAATTGTGTGTATCAATTACTCTGATTATGTAATAAGTTTTTTACTACGAAGACTACTATTGCCATGTTTTGAGTGTTGTCATCAGTATATATACATAAAAAAGGGGGAAGGCAATTTCTTTAAAATGAAGCTTAAAATGAAGCTTAAAATGACACTAAGAAAAACAAGAATTGGCAAAAATGTAATAGTTCTTTTAATAAAGTTTGAGAGGGGCCCCTAACACGTTCCCCTTAATAACTGAACAGCTATCCTATGTAAAAAAAAATTAAGATATATAAAATACTGTATATATATAAAATAAGGTTATTTCTGCACATAGGCAAATAAATGTAATAGATATACAAGCACACTAACCTTATCCTCCTGAGGGCATTTGAACAAGTAGAAAAAGGTTAAGAGAATGTTCTTGGCAAATCTGGGAGCAAACACATCTTTCTCAATGCCAAACTGGTGTCTGCTCTGACGAACTATGCTGTCTATTACATACAAGCCTGGGATCTTGTACTCTGTTTTGCACTGGAAAAAAAATTAAATATACAGTATATTATACATACAGGAATTTGTATTTTCCATAACTTTTTTTAAATGAACAGTAATTTCATTAAAAATATATATTCATAAAGAATAAGAGATCCAATGGAGGAAATATAACAATGCAATAAACAATGCTCACAGTGCAACTAGCCAAAAAGGACTAATAGGGATCTGCATTGTTGTTTTTAATTTATGCCTATATAATCTAATGTACAGTATACTATATAAGCACTGAATGTAATGGAATGCCTTTATATGGAGGGCACCCATGAGATCCCTGAGCACAGCTCTAGTACCAATAGGACTTTGTCCTACACAGTAGTTCCCCGAGTCATCCACTGCTTACTGAAAGCCAGGACCAGAATCTGGCACGTTCTTTGAGGTGAGGGAGACCACGAGATCATAGATCAACCATAAAACTGGACAAACCCCACCAGAAACCATAGACCAACAAACATATCAACTGTCAGAAAGGAATTAGGTATCTCTATGTAAACAATACAACATCTTGTTTCTGCAGGATAAATAATACATTGTCCTTAATGCATTTAACTGCTACCAGATAATATATGCTATACCAGATAATAGTTTGCTCAGGCACAAACTGTGCCTGAGGTCTCAGCCAGCCAGCATCCTCATTTTAGAGCTGCTTGTGCCTTATAACCACATAATAGCTAAAGTGGTGGTGGCAGCAGGCAATGGAGGCAAACTCCATACACAGTTTCAAGTGTAGATATGATAGAGCCCAATAAGCTCATGAATCTGTACACTAATTTATTGGCAGTTGAGAAGCAGAGCCCAAAGAGCCAAAGCTCAACTAGGTAAGTACATAGGGAAGAAGAGAACAGGATGGGGATAGGATGCCACTAGGGACCCATAAGAAAAGGGGGTCACTCTGCCCTGTCTCTCAGGTTTTTAAGGAGATACTTCCTTTGTGATGGTTAAATAGTGCCTTGTTTGCTCTTGCCCTTTCCCACGATAGCGGGTCATGGAAGCAAGTTTTATGTTCTGGTTTCCAAGTTGCCTGCAGTCTGGCTTTCCAAGATGCCTTCCAAGTTGAATTGATTTAGTCTTTCTTACATGCCATTTTTGGATTATCTTCAGGGATTCACATGGATGCTCTCCTTGCTTTTTATCACTACATTATGCTCTTTTCTTCTCCCCATGGAGATTGGCCTGGTTTTAGCACCAATAGGTGCTTCCTGTCAGACATTTCACCAGCTTTTCAACTAAAGTGGATGCTACAGCCCAAGCTATTCCTGGCTATATTTATCTCAAGACTCCTGGCTGCATGCAGTTGAGGTTCCAGTAGCTGAAATAGATTCATCATTTGCTATGGCACGTGCAGTTAAAGTGCTCGCCCTTTGTCCATTGCCCATTTGTGGTAGGCCCCAGTTACAGCGTGGTGGGAGGATGTCCAAGTGCCTTTTGGCACACTCAGTCCTGGAATACCTCGTCTTATAGAATGCTGTAGATTCCCAGTCTATGGTTGACTAGGTCCTTCTCCCCCTCGTGTCCTGAGGACTTAGTGTAGAATTTACCATTGTCAGGGATAGCAAGTTTGCAAAGTCCATCGAGGTCCTGCCTAAGCTAATGACTGACCTTTCCCAGGATGAAACCTACAACAGTTGCCTAACTCCTGGATACCTATTTGCTATTAGGTGAACAGAGACCTCAGGTGTAAGGAAACTTGCAACACTAGCCTTATACTGCAGCAAGGGGGTAAGGAGCAAAAAAGTGCAAGTCAAAAACAAATATTATCATAATTTATTTCAACAGAATGTTTATATACGGAACAACATACCTTTTGGATGAATTTCTCTACACTCTGGACCACATGCTTGTAAAACTTGATGGCTCTTATTGCACCCTTGGTTATAGCGGTCATCTTTGCCTTCGATATTGGGGGCTTGCACTCGTAGAGCCCAGCAAGCTGTGAAAGATATTTAAGTACAGTAACTAAACAAAATTCTTAACATGCAAGACATTCATACAAGAGGTAAGCATATATTTTTACAAAGTTAAATTCTCCTCACTCAGAACAATAAATGCATGCACAGATTGAATTACTTATATATACAGTATATCTTGCATACAACCCAAATGATTTTGAAACTTACATGTCAATGTTCTCTCATACAGTTCATACATATGATAGGAATGTACGTATGACCCCCTTTCATTCATTATCTCTCTGGGCTCTTCCACAGCTGGTCATATTAGTCCCCTCATCCAAATGTTGATATTTAAAAGGGATTCCTTTCTTCAACCAAGATATGTTTCACTTTTATGGATAATTCAGATGATATTCAACCAATTTGATCACTGCCCAGAGTGGGTACAGATAGGGGGGCATAACCTAGTACTGTACAGCATATACCAGGGACACCACTGCCAGTTTCAATCGGGTGCAGGCTATCCAAGTTAAAAACAAAAATTTATACTGTACGTTATATACTTTTACGGTACAATATCTCAATGTAAAATATTAAGATCTGGAAGATTTTTAACAAAGGACTAACATTATCGTGTTTAAATTACATGAACAGTATTAAGCTTGCATTAATGACAATATAAAAGCACCCTAAATAATTATTAGCCCTCAGGGGGAACCAGATAGTGTCGGCTCCCATTACTTTCACCATTAGCAGAGTGTACTAATAAGATACTGTAGGTGGTGTCAGACTTTGGCTATCCTCAATTGTCCATATGTAAAATAACCCTTTCTGAGACTCAATCTGTTCTCCCAGAATACAGTATGATGCTGTACATGTCATTTGTTTTCTTTTATACTTCTTCCTTGACTGCATTAGTTATATGACTTATTGTTCATTAGGCTATAGTATATATATTAGTGGCCTGGGAATACTAGTATGCTGCATATCAGTAAACTAAATTTTATGAACTCTATAAACCAACTGTAGGTAGGATCTGGAATTCTGAATTCACACACAAAATTATCAATATCACTTCTGATTAAAATACAGAACTATACTGTATCTTAATTGTTTATTTAATCACCACAGGTTATTTTCAGTAACAACAGATTCCATTACATTTGGGGGGTAACCCTATTCACTGCAGTGTGCTTTATCCAGTAAGATCCAAAACCTGTACCAGCATTAAAATTACAAAATCATAGTCACACATCTGTACACCAGTTGATTGACAGTTAAAGAGGCGAGACGAGAGCAACCCCCACAAGCATACCTAGGTGAGTGCACAGCTTGAACTTTACTACACTTATCACACATAATCATACATGATTCTTCATCTACCTCAGGAGGCCCTTAAATCAGCATCTCCATCTAACTAATCTAACCACTCTTAACTAATTGCAGTCTCCGTAACGCAATGGTAAAGCACTCGCCCAGCGCTTTGCGGGTGCTTTGACCTTGGTTTGTACCCTGGCTTGGGAGAATTGACCGGGCACCAATTCTTAATTATAGCCTCTGTTCACCCAGCAGTTTTTTTTTATTATTATTTTCTATCACAGACGTGGCCCACCCAGCAGTGAATGGGTACCTGGTTGTTAAACAATTTGGTGGGTCGTATTTCGGGAAAGATAGGATTAATGACCAGCCTGAAACGCTACATGTGCTAGTGGCTTTACAAGAATTTAATAACTCTTGTAAATAAAAATAAAAATAAAAATAAAAATAAAAAATCTTATGAAGAACAAATCATCACCAAAATCAAATGACAACAAATAGTTACCATCCGCTCTAAGGTTCAGTAGGCCTACATACACTGGCATTGCAAGATTGTACCTATTTTATTATTTTAGCCACATTAATTATTGCTATCCAATGAAAGCCAAGGCAATAGACATTTTCCATACAAAGGACTTAAAATTAAATAAGCACATTGTGGAATGCTCATCTGTCAATTGAAAAACACAGAAGAACATATATGCACCACAACCACATTACCAACTAGCATACTGTTCACTACGATATAGAACACTCGAGTCATCAGTAAAAGATTCAGCAGTCTATATGCAACATGATACAATATACTGCATCTGTAATAATGTAGATATTTTGGCAATGTGTTTCACATTAATAAGTATTCTATTTATTATAAGACTAAATGACTACCCCTCTTCTCAACTTTTGAAACTCTTGCCAAGGTAACGTAATTATGAGATGTAATTAATTATCAAAGAAAGAGCCAAGCCAGGAAAACTATGTAGAGGCAGCTATAAGAAACTGTTGCCAATATGACTACCGTATATAGCAAAGCTCTTGCCTTACTGTGCACTTTACTGTGCCAGGTATACATGAATATGAAACTGTGATAAACCGGCATTATGTGTTGCCTTATGACATTGCAAACAACAAAATTAGGATGTATACAAAAATGAGTATGACAGCGGGCCGAGAGAAGCTCTACATTATGTTCATGCAGCACAATGAAATGCTGTGATATTTGGATAACATGACAACATTTTATACGTAACTGTCTAAAAATAATGTGACATCACCACGAGCCATCTACTGCAGAGAATTAAGATACATGATACAGTACTGGATAGTACCAACAATGAACCAACCTAATATACTGTAATAATATACATTAGCTCCCTAACAAAAACTGTTAGTGCATGTAATACCTTGCACTAAAATCATTGCATGTCAAACTGATATAATATACAATTGTGCTACCTTAAATTAAACAAGAAAACAGATACCAGCAGCCAAGAAGCAGGATCCGAGACCAATGTCTCGCTACCATCAATAACACAATTCTAATTTTTTTAGAGAGCTAGCGTAGCAAAAAATTGAGATACAAGTGTTTGCATTATGGGAGACCAACCTATCAAGGAGCAATACACTTTCTCAGGAGTATTTGGAGAATCACTGAACAATAAATCCTTACCTAACCTAAGGATTGTTTATTGAAATTAGTGCTATCAACCAAATAGCAGTGAGCCATGGCCCATATCCAGCATATTCACATCTTAAGTGTTAACACCTCAGATGTTTCTACTGTTATTCTTGCAAACATTGTGCAGCCCAGATGAGTCAGTCCCTAATAACGGGCAAATAGTATACCCTAACATCACATCTCCCTAACATCACATCATCCCAACTCGGAACGTGACTCCTGCACCCAAACATACGCACTAAATACTCCCACAAATACCCCACAAATGATTGAAAAACCTAACTAAAAACTTATTTTGTTACATTTTAACTAGAACCCCAAGAACATAATGCGAGGGCTAATAAGACACGATGGAGGAGTTATAAAGGAAGTAGGAAAGACGTGTCTACAAGAGACCATTCTCTGGCATGGGTTCCCGACGCGCGGGGCCGGACTCCCTCGCCACTCTCGCCCTCACCCCTGCACACCACACACTCCCCAACATAACATTACATTACTCACCTCTGAGTTGAAGGATTTAACAGCATCCATTTTCACAAGCGTCCTATTACTACTTTCCCTGAAAAAAATATGATTTATAAATAAAATTCCGCATTACTGTCCGCCATGATGTTTGAGGACAGCTATACTATCAACAACGAGAGATGAACTGAATCCTCCGAACACAAACCAAAAGAGCATCACTACTTTTCTAAATATAAAATCAAATGGGATTTAACATTTACCTTCTACCTTAAAGGAAGGTGTTTTGGACTTAATTTATTTCTGTTCTAAAGTTTATATATATAGATGTATCCTCCTGACGATGAATTTTCAGTGGAACGTGAAGTCCTTCTGCACTTTGGCATTTTAAAAGTTATGTGTAAAGATTTACACTTAACTTTTGACCAACTGCCCGCTGTGAATTATTGCCTGTCAATTGTATGATTCTATAATTAATACTATTAGTTGCTTTTATTGAAATCTTTTATTTAAAATATGTTTACAGTAATTAAAATGCATGACTAATTTTGCCATAGCAAGTACACAGGGTACGAGACGAGTTGGGTACGAAGTACACAAGGTACGATTTTGTTATTTTTTTATTAACAAGCTTAGGCAAATAGAGCAATGTGCCGCTACCCTATTCTATATGAAAGGTTACACAGTGTAGATCAAACACTACCTATAAGTTCATCTAATATTCCCATTTCACAGGATGGTTAGTCATACATGGAATCAAAGGAGTAAATACCTGCCTCAATTCAACAGCAAATCAACTGACTAAAAACAGAGAGAGGCACATAATCGGTTCAGGAACTGAACCCTCTAGTTCTTTTTGTTAAGCAAATAATCTTTTGACGCTAGTTACAAAATTATTAATGTTTATGTGCCTTTGTAATCCTTTACATCACCACCCACGGGATGGGTATGGGGTGCATAATAAACAAAAAAATTGTATTGACTAAAAACCAGGTGAGAACATAAAATGTAAGGCTGATCTATTAGCCCCTCACTAACAAAATCTGGGTACAACACAAGAATATTTTCCAATATTCCTAGGTGAATGAAGTAATTACAGAGCTCAAAGTACCTTATATTGCAGGGTACGAACGAGTTGGATACGGGTTTTAGTTTTTTACACATAGTCTTCACACACTAGTTTAGTTCTTAAATGTTGATAAATAAATATTACGGTAAGTTGTACTTTCTTCCACGACAGGTGAACTTATAACTAGTTTTTGATCTACAGTGTGTAATCTTTCATATAGAATACGGGTAGCAGCACATTACTGTGTTTACCTAAACTTGTTATAAAAAAGTAAGAATTTTCAGACTGAAATTTACCGAAAGCCCTAATGTTGCCTATTGGGACCTCGATGAGAACATATCCAACGAAATTCATTCATTTCTGCGGAACGAGCAAAACTTCAAGTTGAAACATAATTTTTTGTATTAAATTAAATGTAAGAAATGTGTGAATTGTAACCAAAGTTTGCCATATTTTTACAGTGTACACTTTTGTGTTGCGACCTGTCCTCAGAGGGTTTGAACCATTGAGGTAATCACTTCCAACCCACCATGTAATTCGTGGCTGAAGTATGTTGACCAGACCACACACTAGAAATTGAAGGGACGACGACGTTTCGGTCCGTCCTGGACCACTCTCAAGTCGATTGTGAAGAGGAGATTGATTGATTGATGAAGATTAAGCCACCCAAGAGGTGGCACGGGCATGAATAGCCCGTACGTGGTACATTTTTTTCTCAGTATTCTGAGGTTGCATTTAACCATCAAGCTGTTATCGCGGAGGAGGATACTGCTTCACTGTCTTTATGAGGGTGTCCAGCTGCTGAAGAGGAGGTAGAGACAAGCAATAAATAGGCAAGAGAGAGCTGAGGAGAGAGAAAAAAATTGTACCACTTACATTCATGCAAGTGCCACCTCTTAGGTGGCTTAATCTTCATCAATCAATCAATCTCCTCTTCACAATCGACTTGAGAATGGTCCAGGACGGACCGAAACGTCGTCGTCCCTTCACCTTCTAGTGTGTGGTCTGGTCAACATACTTCAGCCACGTTATTGTGACTCATCGCCTGCATAGTGCTATTATCTACTTTTTACCCATGGTTAGGTTACATTATGTTAAAACAGTGTATTATTGTCAAAGATGTGAAATATGAGGAGTTTTGCAGAAACTGGTACGAGTAAATGTAATGTAATTTTTACGTGATTCATTGCTTAGCTATTGTGAAAATCGTAAAGTTGTTACACTATACTACACGACACTACATTTAATTCTAGTAAGCATGCTGCGATGACGTGGATTTTAACTTGGCCACCATTGGAAAAATGGATGGAAGATGCAAAAATGAGGTAAAGGTGAAACAAAAGAAAATGAGAGGATTTACACATCTACAAAACGTTGTGATAAGTATGAGACTCTTTCTTTATTATGCACCCCATACCCATCCCGTGGGCGGTGGTGTAAAGGATTACACCACCGCCCACGGGATGGGTATGGGGTGCATAAAACTGCCAAATCAAATGAGGTCTGTAGTGAGAGTGGGATGCTGGCACTAAATCTTGTATGTGTTGGTATTTGTGCTTGAAATAGCTATTGGCTGGGTAATTTTTTGTATTTATGTTGCTAGGAGGCTGGCGACAGTGATATACTCGACTCACAGGGGCTTCTTGTGTTGGCGTTTGTGTCGGCAGCAGTGGCAACGCGAAAGCCCTAATATGCGGCTTCTTGGAACTCGTTAGTGGGAGGGTTAGTGAGCTAGGCTAGGAAAAAAGCGACAGTGCGTGTGGTGTGAGTGCAAGACAGGTGGTGTGTTTGGCAGGATAGAGACACCACCTGGGTTTCACGTCGCCACCACCACCTGTTAGCCATCCTGGTTACTCACCCGCAACCACCCACCACACCACCTACCTCACACGTGACTAATACACAACTTAAGAGACAGTCCAAAAGTCATGTCAATTTTACAGTTGTTTAAATAGTATGGGCACTCCAACGTGTTCCGGCAGTGATGGATCTTTCTTTTGTCGGTGTTTTCTATGAAGCTTTTCAGGGTAAACTAGTATGTTTAGTATGTCACATATGGACGTATTTAATAAGTCAATATTGACTATACGAAAGTGCGAGAACGGGTTGTATAATAAAATATCCGGGAATTTTGCGATCCGTGAGTATATGTAGCATGCATTCTAAGGTGAATGTTTCCTAGCTTTATCTTCCAGTATGGGTATGATGTTGATAAAGTCTGAGGAAAGCTTCCACTTGTCTGTTGCATAACGACACGTGCAAGGATTTCATAGGTTCAAGTTCAAGTAAGTTTATTGAGACAATAAGATTCGTCTCAAAAGGATAGAGTAGTTAGTTGGATGGGAAAGTTGGAGAAGGTACAAAATGAAGCCATGAGAATTATCTTAGGATGCCCAAGAAATGCTATGATTGAGATAATGAGGATGGAGTTGAATCTGCAGAGTATTAGGGATAGAATTGCACAGAAAAATGTAGCCTCTGCCATTAGACTAATGAGTGGTGGGGGAACTAATGAATTAATCCTCTCGGTTCAAAAGGTGGGAAGTAATGAACAATGTATGATAAAGAAGAGAGCATATATGAATACCTTATGTTCTAATGCTATAAAGTATGATGTTATTACAGAGTTTATTGCTGTACCCAAGAGATAATTCACACCAACATGGGAGGATTGTAATGTAGATGTAGTAATTATTCTCTTGCAAAAGAAAAAAAGTATGTATGAAATAGGAGAGCTGAGGGCAATATATGATTGTATAATTAGAAAATTGCCTACAGAAAACACTCTACATGTATATTGTGATGGGTCAGTAGCTAGGGATGGGAAGGCAGGATGTGGAGTCTTGATCAGGGAGTACACTGACATCGGCACTGTAGATACTGTTATTGGACGCCGCTTAACTGACAATGTCTCTTCAACGCAGGCTGAACTCCAAGGTGTATTAGCAGGATTACAGGAAGTAGTCAAATGTGATAAAAATGCCTGCTTCTTTATTGACAGTAGAGGAGCGTTAGTCTTTAAATAGCAGACGCCCAGTATACCAGAATATTGTGATAGAATGTAGAGAGAATGTTAAGAAATTAGAAAAAACTGGGTATAAAGTAAGATTCATGTGGATCCCTTCACATGTGGGAATACTGTTGAATGAGGTAGTTGATGAGATAGCGAAGAGAGCCACGGAAAAAACTCTTGTTGATGTTGTATGTCAGATAACCTTGAAACAAATAAAAACAAGAATCAAGATGATCCAAGAGAGTGACGAAATGGTAAAGAGAATGGCAATGGTGGACAGTAGTAACACACTTAAGAATTACACTTAGGAGCTACAAGAATTTTGCCCCAAGAGTGTAACAATTATATGCTGTGCTTGCTATATTAAACTGCAATGTTAAATGGGATTCTTGTAATGTTATTTGTCTATTTGTACTCACTGAATTTGTGCGCCCCTTGAGGGACTTGAAGTAGAAGGGGGTAGAAATAGCCTAAGCTACTCTATCCCTTTGAGATGTATTTCTTTCTTGTCTCAATAAACATACTTAAACTTGATAAAGTAGCTTAGACTATTTCTACCCCTCATTTCATTTCATGGGAACACATGGTAAATACTGTAATGTCATACACTCTCGCGAATACTACACTGGGTACCAGAATAATATAACAAAAGATCTAAATCTTTGTTTGGAAATATTTTTCAACTTTATCCGAGTTCTTAGGAAATCGTACTTTCACCTAAAAACACGACTGGAGAATTTCTTTTATAAGACTAATCTGGGAGGGTTGCGCTATGGCCAGGTTCAGTGGAAAAATGCCCTGGCTGCCAAATGACATGCCCTAAAACTTTCAGTATTATGTAGGTTACACGTGTATGTGTTATACGGGTTCACCTTGTACGGATATAGCTAACTTAACCAGTTATATGGAATGTCTTTCGATTCTGATGCTCATTTATTCATTGTAAGCTGTTGTCAACATATGATTTTACAAATTCAGGTTATAAAAAAATGGTCAACTGTAGTATCATGGTAATTGATGCCGTTATGACTCAAATTAATATGATTCTAATTTAAAAATGGTGCAAAATTAGTAAGATATGGGAGAGGACCG